GGTCACCCTGGGCAGAGGTACTAAATCTTCTGCCACAGGGGACATTGAGTAGTATCTGTTCCAATCTGTGTGTGTGTCTTGTAGATGCCAGGCAGGAGCTCTGGGCAGAGCTAAAATCTGCAGCAGAGTCAGGCTGGGACTTTTCCTCTCGCTGGTTCCTCTCCTGGCCTCCCCCACTCCCTGCGAAACTGAAGGATACCAAAGCCAGGGCTGTAGTGCCAGTGGATCTGAATGCCTTTCTGTGCAAGACCGAGCACCTGCTGGCTTCATTCTACAGGATATTGGGTAAAGAGACTGTTGGGAAGTGCCTCCCTTGGAGATACTGATGCTTGTTGAATCTCTTCCCCCTCCACGAGCTAGGGACACAAGATGTAGTTATTGGGGCAACATCCCCTGTGTGGGGAAAGGGCCCAGCATCCAGTAGCATTGCTACCCGCAGAGCAGCTTGTGTAAACAGCAGTGCAGCCCAGTGGTATCTTCCTGCAAGTGGGAGCAGGAAGCAGTTTAACTTTTCTCTGCCCCAGGTAAAGCCACTTTGCTGCTCACTTCATTTATTTCTGTGTTTATTTAATTCTCAGGTGCTGGGAGCCTAGGGAGGGCATCAGGTGTATAGGGGATGGGCATTGTAATGATCAGTCTTGTCTAGGGCACCTGCCTTTCCCCATCTTGGGCTGTGTCAGCAAATCGAAGCTGGAAGACTGCAGCTGACTCTGCCTGAGCTGGAGTGGGTTTCAGCTTCCTCCTCTCGAATACTGAGCAGTGGCCACAGGCCATGCTGCTCGGAGTGCATTGGGACTGTAGAGTCTGCAGTGAGCACTGCCGTGGACCACAGCAAACATTGAGGCTGGACTGTAGTTAATCTGTGGATGCTTCGCAAGCCCCTCACTAGTGTAATCAGCCATTCTCACACTCTCTCTCGCTCGAAGGAGACACTACCAAGGCTGCCCAGTTCCAGGCTGCTCTGGAGCGCAGGCTCGAGTCTGTCCAAGCTGTCTTCTGGAATGAGGCTGCTGGAGTCTGGCTGGACTTCAACCTCCTGAAGAAGCAGCCAAACCCAGCCTTCTACCCCTCCAACCTGGCACCCCTGTGGACTGACTGCTTCTCAGACCAGGCTGCAGCTGAGAGGGCAGTGCAGTACTTAGAGGTGAGCTGGGTTCATGTGGGTAAGAGTCCTCACCTCAACAGACCAGTCAGTCTCCATTAGCCCATGACGTGGAGAGTGTTCCTTGCAGATAGTGGTGGATACCACATACCTTCCTACTGAGCCTGGCATGTGCTGTCTGCACAGAGCAGAGCAAGGTGGAGCTGGAGCCCAGTTCTCATGTAGCCCCATCCCAAGTGTTTGCCAGGAGATTCCCAGGACTTGCTCCTCCAGCTCAACCCACTAGTGACTCCTAGAGCCCGCTTCCTGCACTGGGCCATACCTGTTCCCATCTCAGGAGCTTGGCTGGGCTAGGAGTAGCTGACCAGGTTAGCCAACGAAGTCCTCTCTCCCTAGATCCCCTCTGCAGCCTTCTGTCTCCTGGATGGTGACTTGCTGGGGACCCCAGTACCCCCACTCAATATGCTGTCTACATTTGCAGGGGAGCACAGTGCTGTCCTACAAGAATGGGCTCCCTACCTCACTTGCCAGGACTGGGGAGCAGTGGGACCTGCCCAATGCCTGGCCTCCACTGCAGCATATGGTGATTGCAGGTAAGGATGTTGCTGTGCTCATACCTAGTTTGCAGGACAGGAAGCCCATTGGAGAATTTGCTGTTTGGTACCAGACCTCCAAATTGTTTTAGGACCTGCCCCTTGTTTCCCTGCCCCTTGTTTCCTTGCACCTTGTCCCAGCCATGCTCCCGCTCTAGGTATTGCATTATGCCTCTCTCAATCCCTGTCCTCCACGCTGATGCTGCTTTGTAGCCTTGTTGATTGATTCTGTTTCTGTGGGTTTGGTTCCTGACTGTGCAGCAGCTGCAGGCCAGGCTGTGAGCCCACGTGTCACAGTGCCATCTTGGTTTGGGGGAGACTCTCCCACCTGGGCCTTTCCCAAACTGCTGCTACAGTGGGCCATCCAACCACTGACACTGCTCAGTGGAAAAGCCAGGTGGCTCCAGTAACCTTCCCCACAGCTGCTTGAGAGTCCATAAGCCCTGAGGGCCTTGATCTGTGGCCTTCACTTGAGCAAAACCCACATGGTTTGGTCCCAACCTGTGGAAGCCTGCTTTTGGAGGAGGGGGTGGAAGAATTGTACAAAGCCCCTGCCACTGCCTGGCTCCCTGGAGTGGCCTTGAGCTCCAGTGAGGACTCTATTGTCACCTCTTGCAGGGATGGAAAGGCTAGTGTTTGCAGGAGCTCTAGCATCTGCTGTGACCAGGTCCCTGACCTGGCATTTATCTGTGTTCATAGGTTTGGCCAAGTCTAGCTCCTCGAGAGCCAAAGAAATTGCCTTTGCCTTGGCCCAGAACTGGATCAGAACCAACTTTGCCTTATATAAGAAGTACCAGGCCATGTTTGAGAAGGTAAAGCCATTGGTGGTCCCGGACAGCCAGGCTGCAGCCCCTGTGGGTAGGAGTTTTTCAAGTGGAATTCATGCACACATCCTCCCCTGTGATCCTGGGCAGCTGGTGGTGATTACCTCAGAGTGCCTAGTGCCTGCATAGAAAGAGACAGGGCTGCTACCCTAAAGGACCCTCAGTTTTAACCCTTTCATTGTCAGTTTGTATTCAGTGCAGGGCGCCACGTGTAGAGACACCAGATCCTATCTCAGACAGTTCATCCGAGCGGACTTGACCATGGGCAGATGTGTCCAATGTGGGGGTAGGGGTGGCTGGTCAGCCATAGGTCTTCTCTATTGTGCTGGCTGGTCTTTGTCATTCTGTCCCTTCCCCCCTCTTCCAGTGCTGCTTTCTGCCCCTGCCTGATATACAGCTTCCTCTGCCTTAAGCACCTGTGCTTGTGAACACAAGAGCTGGATTCTGCGCCTGCCCCTCCTTCCCTGGACTCTGGGGGGGGGGGGTGGAACACTCTAGCCCCCACTCTAATGGGGCTTTCTGAATAATCATCTTTCTCCCCAGTACAATGTCGATGGAGATGGGAAGCCAGGGACAGGAGGAGAGTACCAAGTCCAGGTAGGAGCATGTACTGAAATGCTTCAATGCCTACAGGGTCGGGATGTGTGCTTACAATCTCTCACTAGGCAGGGAGGATGTGCTTTCCTTATGGGGGGAGGCCCCCTGTTCTGCCTTCAGACAAATTGCTGGGCTGGAAGCTGATACTGCAGCCATGTGTAAGCTCTTGCCCTGGATAACAGGAGCATGTGCCTTGCTAATGCTGCATTCTCCCCTGCCAGGAGGGATTTGGCTGGACCAATGGTGTAGTCCTGCAGCTCTTGGATCTCTATGGTGACCGTCTGACCTCTGGCTCCCCCTCCAACCCCTTCGGGGCCTGGATTGTTGCTGCTTGCATCTTCCTCCTTAACCTGAAATGACAGGGGAAGTGGTTTGGGCTCCCGGCAGCAGGGCCAGAGGAGACAAGCCCATGTGTACGGAACAGTGCCCTGGCTTCATAGCCAGTTAGGGAAGGGGCAGCCACCTCTTTCTATACCTGCTGGGACAGCAAAGCAGCCACAGGTGAACAATAGTTGTGACTAAAGCCCTGTGCATGCAGCCTTGCTGAGCCCCCTACCTGCAATTCTCATGCTCTTGCTGTTTCATTAGTGTTTATCAAACTGGTCTCTGCTGCCATGCCTGCCTTGGTGGCTACTGGGACAAGTAGAGCCCTGATTCTTGTGGAGGTCTGTGCTAAGACATCTCAGCCCCTATAGATAGACTCTGCCCTGAGAGTAATGGTCCCTGGTGTTGATGGCTAGTGCACAGGTGAGATCCCTGAGGGAGTGTGTTATGTATCCCCCCTCCATAGAGGATGAGTTGTTACAGCTTCAGTACCTTGGCTCTAAGTTGAAACAGTTCATGCTTTTATCTTTGGAGGACCTTAGATCAGGCTCCACTGTGGCTATTACACGTGCATCTGCTACAAGCAAGGGAACATGCTGTTACCTTGAAGCATGTTGCTGCTCTCTGGGTCCCTTTCCCTGTCAGTGTTCCCACTGCAGCATGCAGCCCTCATTATCAAAAAGTGAACCTGTTCTTGTTTGTGCTTCTTGTGCCTTTGACTCCCAACCACAGCTCGTACAATGCCTTTTCCAAACTGTGACGTAACCCCAGGGCCTGGGCTGTAGGCTCCCATCATGCCCCTGCATCTCAGTTCAGTGTGTCTGTGCAGCACCTGGCACAGTGACTGGAGCTCCCCTGTACATGAGGAAACAGTAGTGCTGTATTGCACCTGCCAGTCCCCTGCTGCTCTTCCACTGCCTGATGGGCTTTTGCATCACTTACCGTACAGATTCTGCACCCAATTCTCCCAGCCACAGCAGAACAGGAGCAACACGGCCACGGGCACAGAGGGGAAATATGACTAGTAGAATGGGCTGCTACTGCTAGCAAACTCTTAAGGGGCTATGGGACACAGTGGTTTCATTCAAAGTCATCAACTGCATGCTGAGTGACCCCATATGCTAAGGCCCAGCTAGAACTAGTCAGAAACTTGCATTTCCAGGTGGGAGGAAATTCCATAATTTTGAAAGGTGGGGTTATTTTTAGTCAAAATTGGAATGGAATGAAAGATAAACATGTTATAAAAATGTAATAAGAGGGTCATAGTTTACTGCTGGGGGCCCAGCTCATTTCCTACCACAGATCCTTTTATCATTTCATTCTCACCAAGCTCCCTCTGTGCCACCCTTCCACATCCCCCTCATTCAGAGAGATGTGTAAATAGTTAAACTTGTAGAGTTTGTTGAATTATTTCTTTTGTCTGGACAGTCACTGAGGCTGTCACCATTCCAAACTTCATAGGGGTAGGGCAGAGCACTATCAAAGGCAGGTGTCTTCCCAGCACAGTGCCTACTGAGAACCCTTTGGCTCAAGAGCAGGAAAGGTGGAAATAATCTCAAGTCTGTTACTCAAAAGGCTTTATTGTTTGCAGTCTGTCTACAACTACTGAAAAAGGAGAGAGGCTGGATTGGCTGCTGCCTGCCCCCAGCCTAGGTCAGCAGAGGGAGGTACAAACTGGACAAAAGGAGAGCTAGGCCTAACAGCAGTGGCACTTTAGGAATTCAGATACCTAGGGTTAAAAAAGATATTTAGAAAATAAGGATTTCAAGGTTATAAAAGCAAGGTGGGATTTAAATACTCTTGTTCTTTCAAGGGATTTTCAGCTGTGTGAAACTTAACTCTTCACTAAGGCCGAGAGGAAGGCTGTGGAAATTCCTAGCTCTCAGCTGGATTTTGCTAATGGGGGTAGGTATAGTTAGCCACTTTAAAGGGGCACAAGATGGCAAGGGGCCCAATTCTTTAGCCAGTCAGCAAAGCACTTGAGTGCTGTCACTTCCACTTCTACAGCTGGAGCAGCTTCAGGCTTGGATAGTATGGGCCAAATGCTACAACAGGCTGAGCACCCTCAGCTCTCTGGGACGTTGAGGGGGCTCAGCACCTCACACCATCTGGCCTTTAGAAGTGAATTTAGGCTCTGACACCCCATGAGGCATGTGCAGACAGTTAACTGTAGGCTTTGCATTCTTCTTACCTTGCTCTCCTAGTATCTCCTTTGGGCGAGGCACTTTTTAAAGCTCACAGTGTCAGCAGAACAAGCCATTTGTTCCATTAGACTACACCTCTGTGCCTAGTGCATGAGAGAGATCACAAGCCCTGGCAGACATAAATATTCCCCCTCATTCCACAACATTTGCACACCTGGCACAACTACTTCCACCTTTACACCACACCATAACCCATCAGAACCTTCCAGCCAGGCACCTTGCCTGGGCTGATGCACAGATCCTCAGACGTGGTCAAGGCACAGGAGAGCAGAGAGATGTCTGACACAGACAGACCCCTCACTGTTACAGGCAGCTGCAGTAAATCTGGCCGGACTGTCATGGTGCACATGCTGGCACCTGCAGCAACCTTGGCACTGGTGAGAATGGCACAAGAAAAGGAAACAAGCAGACAGTGGGGCAAACTGGGGTCTGGTCACAGGTGCTGGTAGGATACGCCAGATGCATCTGTGATGCAGTTGTCAGGGTGATGCCCAACAATCTCCAATTTTAAAAAGTGGCAGCATTTAGATAGCTTAGTTCCTTAATCCAAAAGCTTCAGGCCTAGTTTGCACTGGTACCGGTGGGATGGTCTTTGGCAGCTCTTCTGCTTTGTACCTTTTAGCCCATTGATGCTTCCATTGAAAAATAAAAAAGCCTGTTCTGTACTGTTTTTGTTATATAAAAAACCCTCTTCGCTGGGCCTCTGTGCCAGCCTTGCTTAACACCTCTGTTCCATGTGAGAACGATTACACCACACCTGTGCACTAGCTAGGCCCGTGCCTTCACTCTTATCACCTACACTGTGTTTAATAGAAAGCACAGGGCATTTGGTGCAGGCAGAAGGGGAAACGCCACAGCGATTCCACTATTCCACAAGGAATGGCTACAATATGAAAAAATAAGGATTTTGTAACAAAAAAATCCTGGCTTTACACGGCTGATTTTTCCTGTTTTTTTTTGTTTTGTTTTTTTTAACATCCCCCCCACTGGAAAATCAACCACCCCACATTTATTCAGACAACATCCCAAAGCTCTCTTGGGAAAATGGCAAGATGGCAAGAGTGCTGGGCCTGGAGCCAGGCCCCTCTAGTCAGCAGGGAGGTTTAACCAACCAGGGCCCAAAGGGCATGATACAGCCAACATCTGCATGTTTAACCAACCCTTATATTCAAGATCTTCTTGCTGCGGGATAAACACCCCAGGTGGCAGGAGATGGAAATGGCTGTCTGCTGTACCAGGTGGTGGTGGGGCCTCTAGGTTATCTTGGACTGTCAATGGCAAATCCATCTGGGAGAAGAGGAGAAGGCAGGTCTGGAACAGCTCCACCTTAAGCACTCCTGGTCCCCATCAATTCATGAACTGGGTGTAGCCTTCTGCTCCAGTCACAATGACATCCATCCAGATCCTCATGGCCTCAGCTGATGGTGCCACCATGTAATAGAGGCGGTCGTGGGTCTTGACGCAGAAGGTAAGAGCTGGGTTGGGACTCTGCAGAGGTGAAAGAAAAACATGAGGAGCTTGTTCTTGCAGTAACTAGGGAGCCAGCTCTTCCCTCAGTGATAGAACCCATTCCACCTAAGGGCTGCTGAGGACTTTTCTAACTACAGCTAGTGCTCCAGCAGAGGCTCAAGGCTGTACAGCTGCCTGTCATGCTGTTGCCCAGCTCCACCAATCTTAGAGAGAGGAACACTGTCTGCTGGGCAGAGGGGGAGTGGGGGGGGGGAGCCCCTAGTGCCAACTTGCCTGAGGCTCCTCTGCCTTTGATATGTCCACCTCCTGGGGCAGGCCCTTGTGTAAGGGATATGTCAGACACTGAGTGTACTTCTACCCGTAAAGACAAATCCTAGTCACAGTGAAGTCAATGAAAGCTTTGCCTAATAGAAGTAGGATTTGGCCTGAAGAATGAGGCAGCAGCTTGAATGAATGGAGAAGGGGAAGATGAAGTATAGGATGTCCTGAGATGATGGAAATCCAGGCACTTGAGATCTGTAGATACAACACTGGAGGAGGAATGGCTGAAACAGGATAGAGACCTCTCAGCACATGGAGAGAAACCCAAAAGCTGAAGCTACTGTACTGACTCATCATTCCAATCCAACGTTGTCAGACCAGAACAGCACTGGGGACACCAGGGCTGTGGAGGACGGAGCTTACACAGGATTAAAGGTTCCACTACTGCGTCTAACAACCAGCCAATCTGAGAGCCACTGTGACCTTACTGAATAGAGTCAGGACCCTGGGGGGTCTATCTCTGGCTCTACAAGTGCAAACATGGCCATAGCCAAGTCAGATCAGCTCTGTGCCATGACTTCTCATCTGATAATACATTCTTCCTACAAATCTGGTAAGTAAGCCATCCACTCAGGCAGGGTGGTGCTGCTAGAATCAGACCAATCACACAGCACATTCCTGAGCAGCCAATCAGCACGCACAGATTAACCCCCAGCCAGGCTGAGGCCAGCACAGAATGGCAGTATAAAAGAGGCTCAGACCTTGGCATATGAACCTTACTGAGGGCAGAAAGGAGCTGCAGGTCTGGCTTCCGTGCACTGGCAAATTCTGTGGCCAGCATTAGGCAACTCTCATAGGATACAAATAAATACCCAGGGCATACTCTGAGTCATGCTAGATAGGGGCAGAGTTTACATGTGGTACTAACTGGAATTGGCAGCTGAATGCTAGAAACAGCCATATTCATTGATCTCAGCCCTGGAGCTACCCCAACAATTTAATGGGGATGTTACATTCACAGCTCTCAGCCTGTTGCAGAGGCTGCTCAGAGTCAAGGCTACCACTTGTTTGGGGAGACCACATGCTGAGCAGATTCTGATCACACAAACTCCTCATTCCATGCATGCATGCCTCAGATACCTTGAGGATATTCCTCAACACCCTACTGCTTAAGGAAAATCCAACCCGCCCTCAGTTCCACCCAAGCTGCTGCCATTTGGGAAAGATACTTGAGAAGCTGGGTGGGTGCAGAGGTAGAGCGTTAGTCTTGAAGCCTGCTGCGGGGGTCTCAGTTGTCCCTGGAGTCAGTAGGAGACAGATATGTGGCACTTTGCTAGACCTGGTCAAAGGAGGTGGTGATACCTCCTACTCTGCCCTATCTCTGCAACCTAGAGTCCAGCCACCTAAAATGCTCTCCCCATTTTGTTCAGCACAGCCCCCAAGTGCTTGTGGTTCCAACCCACACTTTGATCTCTCCTGCATGAAACCCCAATGGCAAATGCGAGAGATGCTCATTCACCCTAGTCACTATTTTTTCACAGTACCTGATGCTGCTCCTATCAAAGTTGAAGGGAAAACTTCCTCTCTCTCCTGGGAGCAGGCCCAAAGCACTCTAGGGCGAGACTGTATTGGCCATGCACACCATACACCCAGTCAATCTTGTAAAGGAACCCCCACCCCATTGCAGAGAGAGGGTGAGGCTCAGAGGAGCCTTAGGCTACTGGTCCAGAAACACCAAGAGCAATACAGAAATAGAGCCCATTGCAGAGTGTATTCCTAGTGAAACTGCCTTTTGTGCAGGGAGGTCAGAGACTGCTGGGTTGAGCAAGACTCTGCATTGCCAGTTAAAAACAAATGAGCACACAGACTGCTACAAACAGGCTGGGGACCCAACCAGTCAGGCAAGGTCACACCACCCCACAAAACAAGAGGAAAGAGCGAGAGGCAAAGAGACAAGTGCACTGAGACAAACCTCTCTTCGGAAGTGAATGGGGAGAATATCTGCTAGTTGCTAGAAGAAAATAAAGACAAATGCAGTTAGAACAGTTCTGTAGCCTTGCTCCCATTGGAGCATCTGTTGCAGTGACTGAAACCCTCTCCCCATGTTAATTATGCACCCTAGGAAGCATTCAGAAAATCAGTTGGCTCCATTAGGGCAAAGAAAACAATCTGTTAGGCAAAAGTGTTAAGAGGTAAACGGTTCAAATGCTAAGTGTATGGCTTAAGTGCAGGACAGGTGGTATTCCAATGGAGGAGGGAGGACCTTCATTCTTCCCTATTGAAGCTGGTCCCCCTTCATTAAATAACTCAACAGTAGGTCTGTCAAGCAATTAAAAAAAATTAATCACAGTTAATTGTGCTGTTAAACAATAATAGAATACCATTTATTTTAATTATCTTTGGATGTTTACTACATTTTCAGGTATATTAATTTCAATTACAACACAGAATACAAAGTGTACAATACAGAATACAAAGTGTACAGTGCTTACTTTATATTTATTTTTTATTACAAATATTTGCACTGTAAAAAACAAAAAAATGTATTTTTCAATTCACCTCATACAAGTACTGTAGTGCAATCTTTTTATCATGAAAGTTGAACTTACAAATGTAGAATTATGTAAAAAAAACCAACAAACTCAATTAAAAAATAAAATGTAAAATTTTAGAGCCTGCAAGTCCACTCAGTCTTACATCTTGGTCAGCCAATCACTCAAACAAGGTTGGTTACAATTTGCAGGAGATAATGCTGCCTGCTTCTTGTTTACAATGTCACCTGAAAGTGAGAACAGGTGTTTGCATGGCACTGTTGTAGCTGGTGTTGCAAGATATTTATGTGCCAGATGCACAGAAGATTCATATGGTCCTTCATGCTTCAACCACCATTCCAGAGGACATGCTTCCGTGCTAATGATGGGTTCTGCTTGATAACAATGCAAAGCAGTGCAGACCGACGCATGTTCATTTTCATCATCTGAGTCAGATGCCACAAGCAGATTTTCTTTTTTGGTGGTTTGGGTTCTGTAGTATCCACATCAGAGTGTTGCTCTTTTATGACTTCTAAAGCATGCTCTACACCTTGTCCCTCTCAGATTTTGGATGGTACTTCAGATTTTTAAATCTTGGGTCGAGTGCTGTAGCTTTTTTTAGAAATCTCACATCTGTATCTTCTTTGTGTTTTGTCAAATCTGCTGTGAAAGTGTTCTTAAAATGAACATGTGCTGGGTCATCATCCGAGACTGCTATAACATGAAATATATGCAGAATGCGGGTAAAACAGAGCAGGAGAGATACAATTCTCCCCTCAAGGAGTTCAGTGACAAATTTAATTGACGCATTATTTTTTTAACGAGCATCATCAGCATGTAAGCATGTCCTCTGGAATGGTGGCCGAAGCTTGAAGGGACATACAAATGTTTAGCATATCTGGCATGTAAATACCTTGCAACGCCGGCTACAAAAGTGCCATGCGAACACCTGTTCTCACTTTCTGGTGACATTGTAAATAAAAAGCAGGCAGCATTATCTCCCGTCAATGTAAACAAACTTGTTTGTCTTCGCGATTTGGCAGAATAAGAAGTAGGACTGAGTGGACTTGTAGGCTCTAAAGTTTTACACTGTTTTGGTTTTGAGTGCACTTATGTAACAAAACAAAAAAACCTGCATTTGTAAATTACACTTTCACAATAAAGAGATTGCACTTCAGTACTTGTATGAGGTGAATTGAAAAATACTTTTTAAAATCATTTTTACAGTACATATATTTGTAATCTATAATAATAATATAAAGTGAGCCCTGTGCACTTTGTATTGTTTTGTAATTAAAATCAATACTGAAAATGTAGGAAAAACATCCAAAAATATTTAATAAATTTCAATTTGTTATAAGTGCAATTAATCACAATTAATTTTTTTTGAATAGAGTAGGACAGCCCTACTCAATAGTAATTTGGCTAGAACCTACGTTGAATCCTGCTGTAATCCAGTGGTTGGATTCTTCCCCCAACAGGGTGGTGAATTGCTGGTTCAAATCCCTTTTCTGCTGGTTGAGATGGGATTTGAAGCAGGCTCCCTTATCTCTCAAGTGAAGGGCCTAAATGCTGGACATTCTGACATAGGGTTCCCTCAGTCTTTTCTATTGACACTGGTCCACTTTACATAATAACTGGGCCAAAGTCTACCTCCACAGTTCTTGATGGTATGGGGGTTAGAGCACTTCTCTGGGATGTGAGTGACTCTGGTTCAAATTTCCCCTCTGCCTCAGTGGAGGGGATGTGGTGCCTGAGGTGCAGGGCCTTGTAAATTGACTGGACTATACAGAGCAACTCTTAGCTGGTTTAATGAGTAATTGTGGCCATACAAAAGACTCAAATCACTCTTGTCCCCAGCAGCTAGGATACACACCCAGGCTGTGGCAGACCCAGGTCACTCCCCTTCGCTGCTGAGGGGTGTGAACAGGGAGCTCCCACCTCCCAGGGAGAGTCAGAGGTGGGCAAGCCCTGTCCAAATCCCCTTCCTGTCCCAAAGTAGGAATGGCTTCCTGAGAAAGGGAGGGGGTTCAGACATGGATGTTCCACCCTAAAGGACAATCACCGAGGAAGCAGGAAATCCCTGTGCAAACTCCTGCTAAACATTTGAACCAGGCTCTCCAAGACCCAAGCTTGTACCGTAACTACTGGACTATAGAGTAACTCTGGCTTTTGGCCTGGCCAGAAGAATAGTCAAATCAAGTGGAACAACTTCAAGAGGCAGGAATGAGGAAGCCCATGAGCACTACATACACCAAAGACCAGGGCCCATATCTGGGCTACTGGAGAGCTCTCTCCAAACTGCTTCTCCACAGGGAGTGGGGGAGGACTTGAACCAGCAGTTCCCACACACCAGGCACAGAGGTTAATCACCAGTCTTTCCCATAGGCTGGCCCAAAGAATAGTTAAGCCAAGCAGAACAGCTTCAAGAGGCAAGCATGAGGGAGGTCCCCCCATTTCTGTGGCCCATAGCTTAGAGCACTCATCTGGGCAGTCAAGATCCCTCTTCACATCCCTTGAACTAACCAGGCAGAGGGGGATATTGAAGCAGGGTGCCCCACATCACAGATGAGCATGGTAACCGCTGGATAAAGGGGTCACAGATCCATAGGATCAGTGCTATGGCCTCACCTTTGGAATGGACTCTAGGAGGAACCCCTTCAGTGTGCCAGGCTCACTCTCCTGCTAGGGTAAGCCACACAGTTTCACCACCTCCTTAGGCTGGACCTGTGGGCCTGCAGCACTCCTGCCTCACCATGTGAGCTCTGTTCAGTGAGCCCACCCAAGGCAGAGCCTTGCCAGAGACTCATAGGCTCCTCAGGGATGAATGTACCTCGTGGTACCTCGCCAAGCATTTGCACTGACACTCCCATAGCGTTGTCCAAACTTTTGGCTTAATTAGTCAGCTGGAACTCCACCTAGGCAGCCCTGAAGGCCATACAGAGACCTGAAGCACAGCCCATTCTGGTAAGCCCCGAGCCTAGGCAGGCTGTAGTGAACCCTGGGTTCAAACTCTTGTCTCCCTCCGTTTGACTTCCTTCCTTGGGCTCCAGGTAAGAGCCCCGCCTCCTTCCACCAGCCAGTTCTTATTGCCACCTCCCTAGTCCAGTCTTCTCCAGCTGGGGAAATGCTGTTCAGGCTCCACAGGGAGAAGCAATCCTGAAGCACTTGCATGAGAGGAAAGTGATCAGGAACAGCCAGCATGGATTCACCAAGGGAAGGTCATGCCTGACTAATCTAATCGCCTTTTATGATGAGATTACTGGTTCTGTGGATGAAGGGAAAGCAGTGGATGTATTGTTTCTTGACTTTAGCAAAGCTTTTGACATGGTCTCCCACAGTATTCTTGTCAGCAAGTTAAGGAAGTATGGGCTGGATGAATGCACTACAAGGTGGGTAGAAAGCTGGCTAGATTGTCGGGCTCAACGGGTAGTGATCAATGGCTCCATATCTAGTTGGCAGCCAGTATCAAGTGGAGTACCCCAAGGGTCGGTCCTGGGGCCGGTTTTGTTCAATATCTTCATAAATGATCTGGAGGATGCTGTGGATTGCACTCTCAGCAAATTTGCAGATGATACTAAACTGAGAGGAGTGGTAGATACGCTGGAGGGGAGGGATAGGATACAGAAAGACCTAGACAAATTGGAGGATTGGGCCAAAAGAAATCTGATGAGGTTCAATAAGGATAAGTGCAGGGTCCTGCACTTAGGACGGAAGAACCCAATACACTGCTACAGACTAGGGACCGAATGGCTAGGCAGCAGTTCTGCGGAAAAGGACCTAGGGGTGACAGTGGACGAGAAGCTGGATATGAGTCAGCAGTGTGCCCTCGTTGCCAAGAAGGCCAATGGCATTTTGGGATGTATAAGTAGGGGCATAGCGAGCAGATCGAGGGACGTGATCGTTCCCCTCTATTCGACATTGGTGAGGCCTCATCTGGAGTACTGTGTCCAGTTTTGGGCCCCACACTTCAAGAAGGATGTGGATAAATTGGAGAGAGTCCAGCGAAGGGCAACAAAAATGATTAGGGGTCTGGAACACATGAGTTATGAGGAGAGGCTGACGGAGCTGGGATTGTTTAGCCTGCAGAAGAGAAGAATGAGGGGGGATTTGATAGCTGCTTTCAACTACCTGAAAGGGGGTTCCAAAGAGGATGGCTCTAGACTGTTCTCAATGGTAGCAGATGACAGAACGAGGAGTAATGGTCTCAAGCTGCAGTGGGGGAGGTTTAGATTGGATATTAGGAAAAACTTTTTCACTATGAGGGTGGTGAAACACTGGAATGCATTACCTAGGGAGGTGATGGAATCTCCTTCCTTAGAGGTTTTTAAGGTCAGGCTTGACAAAGCCCTGGCTGGGATGATTTAACTGGGAATTGGACTAGATGACCTTCTGGGGTCCCTTCCAACCCTTATATTCTATGATTCTATGATTCTAAGCAGGGACGTCCATATTCCTCTGGGTTGTTGCCATAGCTGTTCCTTGCCACCATGCTCTCCTCAGACATGGCTTTGCTGTCTTCTGGGCTCATCCCTGCCCTGATTCCCCTTGTTCTCTGCAATGAGGCAGAGATAAGAAGGCAGAAACCGTAGGCATGATATTTGCAGATGTAGGTCCAGGCAGAATGAAATGGCTCTTGGGCTTCAAGATCTCATCCAAGACACACACTCCCATAGAGTGACCTGCATGGAACTCAGAAGAATGAAGACCTGGAGCCAGTCCTGTGGGATTTCAAAGTCTGAGTGTTTCACAGCGATGCAAGGGCCTGATACATGATGGTTGTCCCTCAGGCTTGGATGTGATTCTTCTGTGACCCCAGCCTTGAGTATCTGAACCCTGCTCCACTACACCAGGGGTCTGAAAAGTCACTCTCATTTCATTCAGAAAGCTGTCAACATCAGCCAGACACTCCCACTGCAGCTATAGGCAGCCTCAGAGAAGATAGTGCTGGAAAGGGTTCCCCCCCATGATGCCAGCATGGAATTACAGTGCAAGTAAAGAGACGTTCCCCTTCTGCAGCATATGGGACTCTCCAGCTCTGTCAAAGGCCAACAAGACTTTTCAATCAATTCCACTGGCAGGCAGCTCAGGGCCTAGTCATGCCTGCTCCTGGAGTCACACTGCTCTCCCTTCAGCCCAACAGCGGTGGCAGCTTCTTGACCTTCAAGGGGTCACATGCTGGTTCCAGCAGCAGGCTGCATTATCTTCAGATAAAATCGTGCTGGCTCGTGCTACTGCCCCTCCGCGACGTGCTCCCAGATACTTTAGATCCGTTTTCCACATTTCCCCGTAGCAGATTCCAGCTGAAATTTCTCCTTTGGTGCCATATGAAGGCTGCTGGGATTCAGAGGTGTACACTGGTAGCTATTTTTCCACGCTTGTTATTAATTTTAAAGCCAGCCAGCAAAACTGTAATGTTTGGGTTGAACACCTGCTGTCTCCTGGCTGCACAGAGAGAGCAGTGCAGCCCTGCTTCATCACTGTGCCACTAGCAGCTTTCAAAACCTTGGTTTTAAACTGAGAAATTTCTCCCCTCGGGTAAAAGTCACATGTTAAAAATACACTGAGTTTGGCCCTTGCTCGTCCAGTGACTGGGGGCCCCAGAGCTCAGCTATGTTTATGGCAAGAGGGGACCAGGCACCTCATGCGCTGGGGCCTTGCAGCTTGTTCAGTGCTGATGGAGCATTGCTAGCTGCTGCAAGGTTCCATGAATGGAAAGGGCCTTCACCCCTGCAAAGCCTGCATCATCACTCCCCAGGGACTCCAAGGGCACTTACAACTTCAGCTACTTTATTGCCTCAAGGCACCCATCCCCCAGGAAGAGGGGTTTTGGGATAGGAATGAGGGAAGGGGGGCTGGTGTGGTTAGGTTAGAGAGACAGGTGGCTGAGCGCACCCCGCTTTCTGAAGGAACAAGGCTGGTTCTGGCTGCACCTGAACCCCAGGGTCCCCTGGTCCCAGGACTGGCAGCCTGAGAGTTCTGCTGTTAGTACCAACACAAAGCAGGTTAGAGCACTCCTGGCAGCAAAGGGTTAATGGGAACCCGTTGTGAAAGCAGGGTTAGTGCTTGGCACAGCAGAGCCCAGAGGGCGGGATACATACATTTGCTAGGCTGAGGTTGAAAAGTCCTTTCTGAATAGGAAGGAGGTGGGGGAAAAAAGAGAGAGAAATAGACAAAGAGCTCAGCCTGCCCTGGGTTCAGATACTGTTACGCTTGTCCAGCTGTCCATGCAGTATGATTTGTGAGCACAGGCCTATGCATGCAGAGGTCTCCAGTCAGTAGTATTGCTCTGGGGAAAGCTGCAGGAAATGGGGTCCCAGAGGTAGTTCGGCCTGTCTCCCACTCATTCCTGTAGGGCCAAGACTGTGACGTCCAGGGACATGCTAGTGGCCCAAGTGCTGGCATCATACTGTCTGCCCCCCCGACATGCTGGATTTGTATCTCCCAGCAGATAGACAGTGAGTGAGTGCTTGCTGGAGTTCCCCCTGCAGATATGAGGGAGGTGGCTCAGGCTGTACTACAGGATTCAGCGCACAGTGCTGGGCAAGCTGCCCCAGTGTTGCCTTCCAGGTGCCTGGAGATAACACCCCTTTCCTTCCCAGCCACATCCACCCCCATGCCAATTGAACCTCTGGCAGAGTCACAGTCACCCACCCCTGGGTGGAGAGCACAGCAGTGACCTGGACAATGGGCAGCACTAAGGCCATTTCTGGCATCTGGGCCACTGGCCACAACCTGATTTGGACTCCAGGAAGCCTTGGCAGTAACTAATCCCACCCATCCCTTGGGGTGGGAGAAAGGCTCTATAGCACAGGCCCTGCATTGTCCTGTTGGCCCAGAACGGCACACTTTCTGGTGCCAACGGCCTGGGCCCTGCTGGCTACAACGGGGCAATTCTGGAGTTTGTGGGACATCTGTGGCTCCCAGGGGCCCATGACACATCACAGTGCTGCAACTTGTCACTGGGGTGGGCATAGTGATGCAAATGGGCTTCTTCATGAAGCCCTGCTTCCCCAGAATGTTGCTTCTTGCAGCCCGGTGCTGTAAGGCTGTGCTTGCACCATTGCACTTGAGGACCCCCCCTATCCTCCCAGGAACAGCATTAACCAGCCAGCCCTTCCCCTTCCCCAGCCCACACCCAGGCCTCACCTTAGCAGCACTGCGGAGATGGTCATAATAAACCTCCTCTATGGCTTGGAAATAGATCACTCCCTTGAGCTTCGTCTCATGTTTATCTGCATGAGAGAGAAAGGCAAGGCACTGTCAGCACCAGGCTTCACAGAGAAGGAGGCAGCAAGACAAGAGCATGGAGGCTGGCTCCCAGCTGGAACTGAGCCAGACTCCACATGGGTTAGCTAGAGCCAGGGATTCTGGCAGCCACAGCAGGAGAGACATCCCTGAGACACCATCAGTGACATGGATATGATGAGTCCTCCTGAGGGTTAAATACACCTTTGGTGGCAGTTGGGTGGGGTATTTGTACAGAGACTGGGGGAAAGTAGGGCAACAGTGGGGTGCTCTTACCAACATAGTAGGAGACTGTGCGTTTCATACGGTCGAAGACGAACCAACGCTTCTTCCAGGACTTGATCTTGCCACCCATCTTGACCAGGTATCCCTTGCACATCTTCTCGGTCAGGATGACATGACAGCAGGTGTCCACATTGTGGCCTGAGGACTCAATATGTGTCTTCAAGTCGAAATCCTCCTTGCGGATGGGGAGATACCTGGTCAATGGCCGTGCCTGGAGAAGCAACGCAGCCTCGTCAGTGCCACCCCAATGGCAGTCGCCGCCCTTGAGAGTAAAGGAAGTGGGAGAGTTGAGCACTTAGGAGGGTGACACAACTGGTGGCAGTATCTTGGATGCTAAGAGTGCCATGGGGCCTGTGCTGGCTAAGTCTCAAAAGGGGACAAGAGACCCTGACCCTTTCCCTACCCTTCAGCCCCAGATGCTCCAACATCAGACCAAGAGAACTGCATGCCAGGTGGCACCTTCCATGCATGCATGGATGCTAGGTCTATGGCTGAAACGGCACTATGCAGCCTCCTTAACACCAGAGGCAGATGGAAAAGGACTGCCCCCTGATCCCCTGCTCTGCCCTCCTCTCTGCTCCACATCCCTCCCCTCACCTGGGAGAAGTGCTTCTCTCGCATCTTGACCTCCTTCTCTATCAGCTTCTGCCGATGAGCCGTCTCATCCTGCAGCCTCCGCTCCAGCTGCTCCCGTCGCCTGCGCTCGTCCTCCAGGGCCTGTCGCCGCAGCTCCATCTCACGCTCCTGCCAAGTAAAGGACATGGCAAGATCCCCTCTCTGCCCTGCCTACCCCATGCCTGGCATTAGCTACCACAGGCACTACTCAATGACGCAGGACTTGTGGGTGTGACAGTGGATGGCTGGCAACCCTGGAGACTGGATCCCCTCTCCATGCAAGTTTCCTCGTCCCCATAAACAGAGGGTGAGAATGCTCCTGAGTGTAGCTCCCTAGCATTGGCATACAGACCCAACTCACCCGTGACTCCATCAGGCGAGATTTCTCTGCATGGGCCTCTTTCAGCATCTTCTCCATCTCCTCAATCTTCACTGCCTCCACCCCACTGGCACTGCAAGACAAAGCTGATACCATCACAGCCTGCAATCCCCGCTTGGGCCAGGAGCCTGGCTGCTCCACACAGGTGGAGAGTGTGTCCGGAAAGGATAGCAGTTAGGGAACTGGGAGTTTGCTTGGCCCTGCTGCCTAACTAGTGTCCAGGGGTGGGCGAGCATGGGATTCCTGAGAGTTCAGGGTCAAGACTAGTGAGCCAGACCTCGGTGAGGGAATGATTTTTCACAGAAAGGGCTCTTAGGGATTAACTGGCAGTGGCATCTACTCTGTGGAGGAGGTATGATGAGTCCCTCTGCACTTGGGACACTGCACCCCCCTCTCTGTCTCAGCCCAGCAGGGGTCCACAAACATTTTGGGAGCATGTGTCCCCCTCAGGGAGACACCCACACATGGATCGTTCACTTGAGATCCAGGGAAATCTGTATGAATGTATTGTGGTGCTGCCTGAAGGAAGACAACTCCTGTCCCAAAGGGCTAGAATATAAAGGCCCTGGAACAGCTAAGGGAAATTCTCCCTTCGCTTGAGGGGAGGGACCTGGATCTGGGATGCAGAACACTGTAGGTCCAAGCTATGATGCCAACCATGGGTTTTATTGGGATCTGTCTGCAGTCAGGGATTCATTGTAGAGGCAAAAAGAAAAGGAGTACTTGTGGCACCTTAGAGACTAACCAATTTAAGGTGCTACAAGTACTCCTTTTCTTTTTGCGAATACAGACTAACATGGCTGTTACTCTGAAACCTGTCATTGTAGAGGGTAACCTGGAGAATCAAATGGGGCCACACAGCCTGCTCTGCTCCAGCCCAATGCCTCTCATACATCTAGAGCTGCCTCTAACACTGCATCTGCCACAGGATTGCCTCACACCACCAATCACCACAGACACCGACAGAATTAACATGAACAAGTTTTATGGGCTTTTTTTTCTGCCAACACCCTGCTGCAGCGCAGACAGAGCCAGGATGGACCTCCAGACAGACAGAATTCATGATTTTACTGACACGCCTGAGCTCTGAATTCCTTCCCAAAGAGCATACACAAGCCAGTAAATCCCCAACTTGCATGGCTGCTGTGCACAGCCCAGCCCAGTAACTTCCCAACACCCTGCGCTTAGAGCCTGACAGTCAGGCTCTCATGTTGGGCAGAGCAAGGGGAGCCAGCCTCAAGCTTCACCAGATTCATCCAACCCTCCCACAATCAGCTGGGGGTGGGGGCTGTTATTGCCCAAGGATTCTGAGACGAGTGCTGAGGAGTTTGGGGAGTCTCAGAGAAGGGGAGCGGGGCTGGGGTGTGTGGGATGGATGATGGAAGGTGGCTGCAATGAAGTCAGAAATGCTCACAAATGTCTCATCTGTCAACCCAGTGAAACTCTGTAGGCCCCTGCACTTATTAACTAGCCCTCCCTCCTGCTAGTGACCAGGTCCCTCTCCCCCTGCCCTGAATGACCAGGCTCCTGCCCTCAGCTGTGGGGGCAGGGTGATTCTCAGCTCATGTAGATGCACCTGTGCTAACTCTCATCTAGCAAGTTTGCTAAAAATAGTGTTGCCACGGCCGTGTGAGCTGTGGCAGATGCTGCCCGGAGTAAACGCCCATCAGAGACCTCAGGCACCTTAGCCCCTGAGCCCCTCCCAGTTCACCTCATACAGAGGCCAGTGGACATGCTTTGCTCATTACCAACCTGGCGGCCCTCTGGTGAAAGGCTTTCTGTCCCAAACCAGCTGGCTGCTCCCTTAGGCCAGGCCAGGCATCTGGAATGTGCTCTCCTGAACGGGTCGGATTCTCTCCACATCACCTGTTGTCAGGACGGACCAGCCCGTGTGCACCCCTCCCCTCCGCAGGCTGCCCAGAGGGCAGGTATTACCCTGCCCATGGAGGCTTGGAGCAGGCGCCCGGATTACCTGGACATGTTATCAGGCGAGCAGGCTGAGTTGCCACCAGTGGAGATACTGGTTTCCATGCTGTCTGAGCTCTCCAGGCTGAGTGTGTCATAGGCGTGGTCCATGTCCTCGGCCCGGTGCCCGATGCCATGGGAAGGATGATGATGGAGAATGGAGTGATGCATGAGCGGAGGGTAGGAAGAAGGGGGGTAGTGAGGCTGCCCGTGCAGGGCTTCCCACTGGGACTGCGCCTCAGCAGCTGCTTTCTGCTTCAGCTCCGCCAGGCGCCGCTTCTGCTCCTCAATCACCTGCTGCCCTGTACCCCAGGGAAGAAGAACAGAGGGCAGATCACCAGGGGTAAGGAGGGGGCCTGACTGGCTACTGTAGCTACAGCCTGGGCACTGGCAGGCAGCCTTCAAGCAGCCTGCACTCTGTGCCCAGCGCCATTACTGCCTGGGGCTCATGGCTCACACAGAGCTTCTACTACTGTGCCATCTCTGGCCAGGAAGGCACGAGTCTGAATTGCCCAGTGCATCCAGCTGTCATGGACTAAGTCCACATAGTGCGTGATTGGACTTACAAGTATGTGGCTGTCTAAGTGTCCATAAATTCGTCTACACCTATCAGAGCATTAATGACGGTGAGCAGAGACTCTCCTATGATATCCATGCAAGTGCGAGAATACCCACCCTGCTAAACACTGTGCATGCCCATCCATTTCCCAGGACAAACATGCCCCTGTCTCCTCATGTCTGCCTGTTCAGTCAAAGGGAAAGCAGCACACTAAGTCTTCAGAGAACTCCATCACCCATGGCCAAACCTCTTTACAGCTCCTGTGGCAGCCCCTATCCAGCACTGTGGGAATGCAGAGTAAGTGGAATAGAGATAAATGTGGATTCGAACCACAGCTGTGACTGAGTCTGAAGGCAAAGGGAATTCCCTGCTGTGCATGTGAGGAGCCAGGGATAAGCCTGGTCTCTGGGCAGGATGCACATTGCTGCCATGCAGCAGCCAAGAAACCAGGGCTTCCCTGAAAAGTCACTCACCCTGAGGAGTTGGAGCCACTGCCACTACTGTGCAGCTGCAGCAGCCCTGCCGCATGGCGACTTTACCCAGCTCTAATTCCCATCTGGGAGCTGGCAGTGAGACAGGAATCAGGCAGGTCTGACCCAAACTGCCTGGATGATACTGGCCACTGACGGCACACCCCACTGTCATGCTGTGTTCTTGGATCACTGGGTGGATGCACTGGAAGCTCCCAATGTGGCTCCATAAGGGGCTCCTCACCTTTTCCAGACCCATTTAGATCAGTTACCCCCACTCCTCCCTCCTGCCAAAAATGCACATAACCAGATCCAACCTTCAAGGTTCCCAGCTTGCATGGACCATTCCAGCTGGGTCTCTATTTTCCCCTGGCCTCCAGCCCATCCCCTCAGACACTCAGAGCAGAGACAGCAAGGGGAGGGCGCGTGCTTCATTCTGGCAGGGCTGGGCAAAGCATTCATAGATTAGGCAGCCTGATACTAGGTTTGCGTGCTCAGTGGGGCTTTGGGGGGTGTAGCAGGGAGAGGGGGGATGCAGAGAGGCAGAAGGACTAGGCAGTAGGTTCCTGAAGGAGCTCCAGCTTTCGGCACTTTGCTTGGCAGGCACAGGCACCGAACGGCGCAAACTGAGCTGCTGTCACTGGAGATGCTGCTGTGCAGGAAGAGGAGGCAGGCAGGGTCCTGCAGAGCTCATTTGACCAAAGTAGGAAAGGTGTTGGCTGACATGGCCTATGGGGGAGAAAAATGCTCAGGGCTTCCCTCCAGGCTGTGCTCTCTGATCCAGGGAAAACCTGAGCTGGTCAGGAACAAGCCATCTGCGTCAGTCAGCACCAGCCCCTAATGCCAGGGGAAAACAAGCTGGTTCCCAAGTGCAAGCTGGAGATGCTCTTAGGGGAAGATGCCCCGGAAGCATCTGGCCAGTTTGTCCAGCACTGCAAGCAGACGGACTCACGGACACACTGACACCTTGGCCTTGGGTCTGTACCTCCTCCCCACCCTTGGCAGATGGCATCAGGTGTCTTCTTGAACCACACAGCCATGATGCTGCCTAGGAGTCCTAGCCTTTCCAAGTCCTAGGGCTGATCTAGGAGTCCTAGCCTTTCCTACTCTCTAACTGACACATCGCCTGGCTGCAATGGCTCTCTTGGGAGTGTAACAGCTGGAGATGCACTGTGTGGAGCTGGGAGTGAGGGGAAAAGCAAGAGACCATGAGAGAGCCATAATGTCTGTGTCAGAGCCAAACCAAACCTGGTAGGCTACTGGCTTCTTCCTCTTCCTCTGGGCATTGCCTTCTCCCTGCGGCTGCTGCTGGGAAGGGTGCCCTTGTGCAGGGTTAGCTAAGGTTTTAGTCTCATCTACAGTGTTCGATCAGCCATGCTGCAGCCAGCATGGTTACTGTGGGCAGATGGGACCTGCCACATTTCATTGTGTTGCAGGACCATGCTATTGTCTTGCCAAAGAACAGATCTCACAAGGGTCAGAGGGATTGCAACCGAGTCGCAAGATGAAATCTGTTGGGAGCACTGCTGGGTCTATCACTGATGGGAGTTCTTCCTCCGAGAATCCTGCCAAACTGCTAAAGGCCTAGCTGGGCTCTCCGGCAAGACAGCCTTGCGCACATGGGTCACAGCAACTGCTAGCAACAGCCACACTGGAGCATGACCAGGGCCAAGCATGGACAGAGCCTGGGAATTGCCAGCTGAGCTGAGCGCTTGGGCCCAGACAGGCCAATGCTGCTCACGTGCAGCAAAGCAGCATGTGACAACTCAGTGATGACATCCCCCCACCCACCTGCGAGAGTCCTGACCTCTCCCCTTCCCATGATCCTCGTGGTCTACTCCAGCTGACTTGACCGGTCATATTAAAGTCAAAAGACTGTCAAAAGGATCCTTACTCCTTCATTTCCTCTCCCCCATTAGAAGAGACCACCTCATGGTGGGCATGTTTATGGCTCCAGTGGATGGCCTCAGGGGCCAAGCATCAGCTAAGACACCCTGACTCCCGGGAAATGGATTCAAATCCCAGTTGGGTCATCTCAGCCCTTCACCCTTCTGAAGACAGGCCCAGCTACTGCTCCAGACTCCAAAGCCAGTGGCATAGGCAGCAGCCTGACACACCCCTTGGAGTGAGAGGGGCTTATAGCAACCTAGATGGTTGTTCTGTTTCAATTGTGGCCCCCAGGTATTCTCAGGCCCCCCTCCTAACACAAACAGTTACCGATCCCCCAGCACCTGGGAGGCAGGTGCAGTACATGAGGAGAAACCATAGGCTCAGCTCAGCCCAAGTTGCAGAGGCTTGGGCATCTTTCCCCAGTGGATTTGGATTTCCCCAACCTGGGCTGGGTACTTGCTGAGTTTCTGGTAACTCCAGCCCAGGGAGCAAGAGACCCAGGACCATTCTCACAAAGAGATAATTTCTCTTCAAGCCAACCCTCCCTCCACAGGCAGATCGGTGGTAACCCTCCTTCCCTGTCTCTCAATTGTGAGCATCACCAGAGCCTCATGTGTTTGTGACGCACAGCCAGACTAGAGCATGGTCTGGGCCTGCATCATTCAGGAGGGCAGAGTAGTAAAAGCTCCAGGCAAAGAGACTGTTTGCCGCCAGCTTAGGAAGTGGGTGTTTCTCCTCCTACCACTGCATGAGAAAGGCACTGGGAGTTCCCCAGGCGGGATGTCTAATGAACCACAGCCAGCAGTAACACATAATGAGCAGAGATATTTGTGCAGGACACATGGCACAAGCAAGGGCAGTAACATCCTGGGAAGGGCAGAGCAACCCCAGCTCCCAGAGAAACCACTCAGCGCATTTTGGAGCATCTCCTTTATCGCTCCCTGGGCAGACTGAATCCCACCCCGCTGTGGGATGCCCTTGGAGCAGGCACTTACCCTTCTGCTGCAGGGCCAGCTGGCGTTTGGTCTCGATGTCCTGTAGTGTGGCTGCCAGGTTCCGTGGCAGGCTACCTGTGCCATTCTGTGGGTGCAGGGGACCCTAGGGATGTGAAAAAACAAGGATGAGGAAGCCCCTGTGGGATGCCAAGTCCCTGGCTCATGGGCTCAAACTGCAGTAAAGGGCCTTAGTTATACACAGTCTGGCTGATGGAGATATTAATAGATCTACCTGCTGTACTGCTGTGAAAGGGCATCAAGTCAGGGTTCCAGGCTGTGCCCCCCAACTATCTTCCTACAGACCAAGAGCCCCAGAGCCCAGGCACCCCAGGGTCAATGGATTGGAACAAGCCCCTCCTTTGGGAAGTGAGTGACAATGCTGGTACTGCAGCCCCCCTCAGCACATACCTTTGGGGACGAGCTGCGTCCCAGCGTGGCCACACTGAGCTGTGAGGATGATGCAGACCCGCTCTTTGTGCGTGGGAGGCTGCTGCCAGGGTCGCTGTCCATCTTAGCACGATAGACCTGGACACAAACCCAGACATGACTAAGAAGGGCAGATGAAGGCCACAGCACAGGACCCTGTGGACTGGCTGAGGCTTAGGGAGAGTTGATGGTTATCAGAGCCATCAGCACCCGTAACAGAGATTCATGGCATTTGAACCACTCCAACCCCAAAAGAGGCAGAGAGAAGGGAAAGGAGCCTAGGTAGCAACAGGAGAATAAACTGGGATTCTGATACGATGGCAACCTGGATCTACCTGAAGGATCTGCATCTTTTCAACATATAAGACACATGCGCAGACAGCAGCTGCCTGAGAGCCCAGCTTGTTAACAGCAGCAGAGGTAATGCTAATCTCAGTTACGTCCCTCCTTCAGCCCCAGTCCTTCAGCACAGGCTCCTTTCCTACAGGATATTCCCCATAGCTTTGCTCCATCTTGTCTGAATGTGCCCCATGCTGGCCAGCTGCTCCACAGGGTACAAAATACCCAGGGCCCAGGAACGTGCCCTCTCTGAGCAAACACCTGCCCTTCTGAAAACCAACTCCCATTGTTAAATTGAGAAGAGACCTTGTTACAGTGAGATTGTGTTTCATTCCAGATGCAGTGTCTGTGACTCACACTTGCTTTCAAGGGCTTAGACAGTGAGAGCAAACTGGCCTCTAGGTTGCCTTACACTCTATTCCAATAGCAGAGCCTTTACCCCTGGTGAGGAGATGGGTCCCAACCTGGAGAAAAAGCAACTTTTGGACTCATCAGCTGAGCTCCTGTGAGCTGGACTCATTGAGAGTAAGCATAGAGCCCATAAGGTTGTGCTGAGTCACCTCTACAAACTTCAGTACAACCTCCACGAAGATGGAATGGCACATGCACTGGTTCAGATTGAGGGCTCAGACCTTCCCACTGCTGCTGCTCTGGTTCCTCTGAAGAGCCCCAGGCACTAAAGAAGCTTGCTGCTGCATGCAGCGGACTTGGACATGAGAGGGTTAGCTCTTACTTCCTGGGGTTTGGTGCCTGGGACTTGTGGTATACTGAGGGGGCCTTTTACTGCGGGTACTTCTCTCCTCTCCACACTCATTAATGTCATTCAACAGGTTATTGTTCCTCAGCTGAGATCAAGGGCTGGTCTGGAACCCAATTAACGAAAGGGGCTGTAACCTGAACCATCAGCTCCCCAAGGGAAAATCTGCATGAGCAGCTATTGCAACAGGTCTTACACTGATAAATAATCTATTTAATTCATTCTCACTTGGCACTGGGGCTCACAGACTTGCAGTGGAGTAACTAAAAGTGAACTACAAATCATTTCATTACTTTGATTCTGTGTTCTGTGGAGACGAACCCTAAATTACACAAGACAGGGCAAGGAGTGGGGCTCTTTAATGTGTCTGTTGAGCACCGTGTGCTGGCATGACATGGCATAAATTATAATAAATACTTCCCTGAGCGAATAATTCTCCCCCCAAATCGCCAGTTGCAACATTGTGAGAGTAACGGACCCAGCCAGGCAGTGGGAAATCAAAGCAACAACCAAATTCTGGGTCAAATCTACTGAGGGAGCAAATTGGCTCCATTGATTCATGGGAGCGGAGTCAATTGACACTAACTGGCAATCTGGGTCACACTACCTCTGTCTTCCCTCCATCCCAGCTGGCTTTGGGAAGGGACTCAGAACATCCCTAGCTCGGAAACTCCCTCATTGGGTGACCAGTCTCACTAATCTAACTAGCTGAGTCCAGCTGCAGCTGGCCTTGCTGCCAAGAGCCCCCTCCCTAGGCATCTCTGTGATCCCAACCCTGCAGCCTGTGAGCACCCAAAAGGCCAAAACTGTCCACCCCTGCAGGGCCCAGAGATGGGGAGTGGGTGGGGCAATTACCTGGAACAGCTTTCGAGAAGAGTGAGCTTTAGCAGGAAGAGGAGGAGGGGAAGAGTGAGGAGAGGCAGGGGAGGAGGCCTCGAAGCCAGCCATGTACCACTTCTCTAAATCCAGGGCAGAAAGCTGCACTGGGCCCCCCTGAAGCTGCTTCTCCATCTAAAGAGAGAGGGTGTGAGAGACAGGAGGGGAGAGATGGAGGATGAAACAGTAAGAGAAACCCTGCACCATCCCTGCATGCTCACACCAGGGACCTGGATGTGGGGAGAGGGAAACAGAACCCAGTGCTCCCTGCAGCCCACCAGGGGCCCAAACTGGCGCCATCCCTTTCTTCCTGGGAATTAAAACATGGGACCCTTCATCTGCAGCCAAATCCCAGCATTGTGCTGACAACAGGTCCAGGATCTTCCACCCACAACCCCATCATCAAGGAGCCAGAGCAGCAGGCGCTCCCGCGAGCACTGGAAAGCCACAGACACTCAACCGCAGTCTGCATGGCTTAGAGCAAAACCAACTGGATGTGGCACGGAAGCCCTGTAGGAGCATTGTGAGTCCTCACAGCGGGGCTGAGATAAATGAAAGGCAGCAGAGGACACAGGCAGGGAGGGGGGACATAGGCACCAACACTTGCAATGGGAGCTGTGCAGACAGCTACTCCTGCTTCACCCTGGAGCTGCAGCAAAGCGGGGCAACAGTGCAGCAGGGTCGAGGTCGGGCTGGCTGGGACGGAGACACTGTGTTCTCAAACCCCTTTTGAACCCAGGAGTGTTGGGACAGATTGTTCTGAGTAGAAGCCCATGGCTTGGGGCTCAAAAGGGTGTCATTCCTTCCCCCTCCACCTATGGTATGCCGCAAGGCTCACAAGGGACCCTGCACACACAGGAAGATGTCAGACATCCCTGGCATAAACTCAGTCCTAGGCCATGAACTCTTACCACTTACCGGGTCTGCTCCCCTTTGCTGCCAGTCCTAGCTCCTCCTCCAGCTGAGTGTTGTGATGAGGGCACTGGGCAGGGGAGCAGCACACAACTCTGCTTTGCAGTGAGAGAGGGAACCTGGGGATCCCAGCCCGTCTCCCTCACCCTGTGGACTGACATGGCAGTGCGGGATGCTTGGCCCCTAGCGCAGACAGCCCTGAACTCCAGGGCTCTGCGGAAATTCAGCTCTGAATTCTGGAACACAGGTCCCACCGCAGACTCCAAAGATGGACCTTCCCAGGGCCAGGTGGACACCCCTTTCTTGGGAAACAAGCTCCCCTCAAGGCTGCATGGCAGTGCCCAGCAAAGGGCGCTCATTCAGACAGTTCAGCGGACCAAGCAGTACAAGAGTCCCTGGCAAAAGGATTCAGCCCCTAGAGCAGCTGCACATCTGGATCCAGAGCAAACAAAATTCCCTACTTGCTTGTGGGTCATAGGCCCCAGAGCCCCACATCTGCCTTCCCTTCTGTGGCCGGACACACCCACACAGGGCACCTTGCCCCAGGGGTGAGCCATGCTGCTCCCTCATCACAGCCAAATGAGAGCTCAACATTAAATCAGTCTGGAGGCTTTAGAGCTGGCAAGAGGAGCTGGTGTGGCACTGTGGAGGGATCATGCAGCAGGACCAGCTCTTCCTCTGCCCCATGTGGGTGTTCTGCACTGCGAGGAATCAGCCTCCATTGATGATTCAGTGTTTGCCAAAGTCGCCAAGGCAAGCTAACGTACTGATGATGCTAGTGGTGTCTGTGCTGGGCATGCCTACCTGCTAGGATTCAGACTGCATCCCAGGCCAGAAGGGATCCCTATTGCCTGGTAGCCTCTCTCTGGGACCCATCCCAAGCACATGGTGTGGGGGTGCTGACGCCCAGCTTGGGACCTCTGAGGTTTTACAAGCCCTCCCTCCAGCTAGCCACTAGTGTTCCCCTGGAAAGTGCAAGGGGTGGCAAGAGGAAAATGCAATGGACACAAACCTCAGCAGAGATGAAGGAAGAGGAGAGAGGTGGCACAGGAGAAGGAAGGCAGCCTGCAGACGAAGCAGCTTGAGGGGCGAAACCTGAAGTGGGATGGCCCCATGGGGAAGCAGGAGAGGCTAGCCCTAGGTCAGCTCTGACATTGCCCAGAATCCCTGAGAGCTGGTCAACAGTCACGTACTGGGGCAGAGAGAAGCAGCAGAGTGAAAAGCGGAAACAGGACCAGAGCAATGAGAGCCAGACAGGCAGAGAGGTGAAAAGGCAAGGACCTCAGCAGCCTGAAAGCCCATCCCAGGGGAGATCATTACAACAGGAGAGTTTAACTTCCTGACAAGCTGCAAAGGTTTTTGGCTCAGCTCCACAGAGCAGCACCAGGAACAGCTGCTATTTGCATTGAGCCCAGCTGTCACCCACTTGCCCGAAGGTCTTGCAGCACATCAGAAGTGGCATCTGCATAAGCTCTGCAGGGGGATTCACTTTACTTTTTAATTTTTGTGGGAACTATTATTGCTCCTGGGACTGATAAGCACCCACTTGAGCCAGAGAGAGGCCAGGCTGGTAGCCTGTCAGGTTCTCCATGCTGCTCTGCCAAGTCACCTCCATCCTTAGTTACCTCAGTGTCGGGCTCCCCCCACACAGCTATGCCGATGCCCCTCAATCCTGACCTGCAGCCCCAAAGCTACTGCAGCCGTTCAGCTGAGACTGTCTATGCCAAGCTGAATGGCAGTTTTGTAACAAAGTTCTAATTCAACCTAAAGCTGATCCCACATATCTCACTTGCAGACCCCAGCAGCCAAATTCTCTTTAAGGGAATTCCACTGAGAACAGGGAGGGACCTTGCCCGGTAGCCAACTTCAGAGGACTAAAGAATTAACTCATTCACTGCACCCCCAGCAATGTTCCCTCTAATTTTTTACATCCATGTGCGGAATTAACTTTGTTATGTGCACCAATATGGAGGTGAGGTGTGGTGAGGGGCTGAGCAGGTTTGGAGGGAGGGGGCTCAGCCCTGGGGCAGAGGGTTGGGATGCAGAGGGGTGTGGGCTCTGGCTGGGGGTGCGGGCTCTTGGGTGGGGCTGAGGGGATTGGGATGCGGGAGGGGGCTCCGGGCCAGAAGGTTGTTGTGTGTGGGGGGCGGGGGTGAGGGCTCTCGCTGGGGGTGCAGGCTCTGGGGTGGGGTCGGGGATAAGGCGTTTGGGGTGCAGGAGGGGACTCGGGGCCAGAGGGCTGGGGTGTGTGGGGGTGAGGGCTCTGGCTGGGGGTACGGGCTCTGGGATGGGGCCGGGGATGAGGGGCTTGGGGTGCTGGAGGGGGCTCAGGGTTGGGGCAGAGGGGTTTGGGGTGCAGGGGAAGAGGGCTCTGGCTGAGGCTGCAGGCTCTGGGGTGGGGCCAGGAATGCGAGGTTTGGGGTGCAGGCTGTCTCAGGGCTGCGGCGGTGAGAGAGGACTCTCCCCAGCCCTCTCTCAGCGCAGCAGCCCAGGACGAGGCGCCTCTCCCCAGCAGCTCCGAGACTGGGGCTGGGGAAGAGGCACCTTTCCCTACCTGCATCGCCCTTGATAGCCTGCTGTGCAGCCACTCAGCTTAGAAGGAACTTAGCCCACCAGTGCTGTCTACGAGTCTAAAGCTCTCTATTTTACAGCACAAGGGAGAGAGATCCCTAGTCACGAGAAATGACCATTTCAGCCTCTCTCACCAGTCAGCATGAATTCACTGCCTGATCAGCTGCAGGCCAGGGGGCTGCACCAAGCCAAAACCAACCTGCTCCAGGAAGGCGCATTGAGGGAACCGGTGATGGTAAGGTGGCCCCATCCCTTGCACCAGCCTGACCCATCTTGAGCAATAAGGCAACCTTGCTCTCGGTGTCAGCTACTAGAGTACAGATTTTACTACCCAGCCAGAAACACTGTAAGCAAAACTCAGCGTGCTCAGGAGCAGGTACCTCATTGGTTGCAGGAGGTACAGCAGGCAAGCAAGAGAGTGGAGCAGCAGCAGCAGGGGCAGCAGCAGAAGCTTTAGTGTCCTGGCCAGGGCCGTACACATTGCAGTAGAATCTGAAAACGTCAGACAGCCTCATGTATTCCTAGAAATCCACGATGAAGAAGGAGGAGAATTAGACTCATGCACCGGTCCCATGGCACAGACCACAACACAGCAGTAAAGCTCCACAGTGCTGCCTGGGCTCCATAGTGCAGCTGGCTGATCTCTTTTACATACCGACTTCCTCTTCCATAGAGAGGTGCAGCCTGTGGGGACTACAAGTCCTAGCATGGAACACTTCATCCTGAAGAAAAGGAGTACTTGTGGCACCTTAGAGACTAACCAATTTATTTGAGCTACAGCTCACTTCATCGGATGTTGCTTATGCTGAAATAAATTGGTTAGTCTCTAAGGTGCCACAAGTACTCCTTTTCTTTTTGCGAATACAGACTAACACGGCTGTTACTCTGAAATCTTTCATCCTGAAGGAGGAGCACTGCAGGGCAGGACTTGTCATCCCAGGTGTGCCACTTGGACGGGGACAGAGCATGCTGGGACTTGTAGTCTCTGAAGGTTACACGACTGTGTAATTGGCTTTATCTTAGGTGGTCTGGCTGTCCATGGAATAGGACATCACCATGGCACACACAGCCATTCACCTTTAGGCTGCTGTTCTATTTCCACTGGCCTAGAGCTTGAGGATTCCTAGTGTCACCCGTTGGTCGCCAGCCCTCCTGTTCTCTCTCTCCTGGAACTTAGAGGACTGGGCCAACCGCAGCTTGGCTGCATTTACTGCCACCTGGTTGCAATATACACACCTGAGACAGTTTGAGACAGGGAATCTGGACCTCCTTTGGCATCTGAATTAGCATCTGATCCAGAGGGATCGATAGATGGAAATGGATTCAGCTGGCCTGCTTCAGAACATGTGGTAGGCGGGTGGGAGAAGGGACCGCATGCTGCTGCAGTACTCAGCCTATAATGGAGCTTTACTGCACACACCACACAAAACATGCAGTGCAATCCCACCATCAGAAGAGCCCAACACGCTCCATTCCAGCACCAAGGGGAGACAGCAGCAATAGGAAACACAGCACGTTGGATACTGGCCCAAGGAAAGCAACTAAATTAAGAGCAATTGATGGATAGGAATTGGCATGTGGTATTGGAACAAGCTCCCCCTTTACCAAGTAACACAGCAAAGGGGGTAGGTGGGTCAGGGCAGACCCCGAGACCCATCCATAGTGCCCCCTGCTGTCGCCAGCCAGACATCACAGCATCTGGCATCTGTTGCCAAGCATCATTAATAGAAATGTTTCTTAAAGCCCCAAACTGTTTAGACACTGGCAGCAATGTGCAATTAAGAATCCCAGCCTCTCCTGCCAGTTGGTTTGGAACTGGTTCTCAGCTCTCTCCCTATTTCTAAATCAAAGATTTTGATGCTATTTAAAAAAAATAGAAAACAAACAGGCAAACAGAAGAAATTAAAGGGATGTTGTTGGGGAGCTTTAAGCTTGCAGTCTGCGAAATGGGAGGGAAAAACACATTCAAGGCATTTTGTTGGGATTTAAGCCATACTGCAGTATGGTGCCAATGCAAGTGAACCAGGAAGCTAAACGGGCTAGAAACGAGAGCTGTGCAGCTGAATGAAGTTCAAAGAGCATCAAGTGTGAGGAGTGTTAATCCCAGGTGTTTCAAAGGTGCGTGAGAAATATGTGATTGTTAATCTGATGGTGCCCTGTTAGTGAGCCTTTTCAATGCCTATCTGAGAGGGCCTAAGTCATTGATGGTAACACAAGCCCATTTAAGAGCTGCTGGCCTGCCTGTCGACTGAATTATTTACAAGACCCTGATAAGACGGCTGCACATAGCAGTCTGGCCCCACTCTGGGCAGAGGAGCAGAAGCAGTAAGCAAGCGAACACATGCAGTTAGTCCCGTTACCTCTTGCATCTTGGGGTAAGAGTGGGCGGAGAAAGGACCTAAGGAAGCACTTGCCCCTGGCAGGGGTTTCTGGGGCTTAGTTTCCTCTAACAGGTCATAAGGCTCTGAGATATGAAGTGTTTCCTGTTGGAGGGTAAAGGTCAGAAGGGCAAAGCAGGCACAGAAACAGGGAGATCAAAACAGCACAGAGGAATCCCTTCCCAACTGAACAGCCTCAGGCATAAAGCAGGGACATCGCCTAATGGAGCCTCCAGCCAGCCAGTCCCGGCTGACAGCACTGCAGCTTCATGGCACAGCCTTAGGGAAGATTTCACCTTGCAGACCATCTCAGTAACAGGACTGAAGGCACCAGGCATCACATATCCCATGGCTGGATTGTCACAGCTCTGCCTTTGGGAGTTCGAACCACAGGAGGGAAGAAAAGGGTCTGTGCCCTCCAGTGTAGAGCCAACCCTCCCTGGAGATGCTCCTAGTCTCCACATCAACACACTCACATCTTATGCCCACCTGGCTGCCAATTCCAATCACGCACCCAATATGGCGGAGCCTGTGGAAGGGCCAGCTGGCCACTAGCTCACTTTGCCCCTCCCCAGAATAAAGGTACTTAATAACGCTGGTGGGGGAGGGGGTAACGGGCTAATCCCCTCCTCCCATGCTGAACACCTTGGTATGTATGATCTGCACAGAGCCAGTGCCATGCTCTTCTCCTGGCACATGGAACAAGGATTCCAGCCCTAGCTGGTGCTTGCAGTCCCCACTGAGCAATGGGACGTACTGAGAAATGCTCCTGCAGCCATGCAAGATTTCCATTAGAACCCCCATCCTCACACATGCCATGCACTCTTGGGCTACAGGATGCTAGTCAGACCCTAACAGCATGGACTGGTCTGGGGGCTGGGGTGGGTTAGCCAAGGCCACCCCCCTTTCAGGTGTCCAAAGCAACACATACCCAGGGAATGATGCTCTGCTCCCAAGGTTGGATCAGGTTCCTTTCCCTGTCAGTGTTTGGGGCCAACCAGGTAAGAACCTGGCTCTAAGCTCCATGCTGCATGGCATGACTAGGACACCCAGCTAACGGCAAACCCATGTGTGGAAGTTAAACTCTGGTTCCATGGTGTTGGTGGCTCTGCCCCCAGGAGGGTTTGTCAAAGGGATACAGGATCCCCGCTGCAATGAGAGAGAGAGAGAGAGAGCCCTCTCCAGCTGAGAGGCATTTTCATTGTCAGGGCACTGGGACTTTCAGGCATTTGTGCCAAAAATCACACAAATCTGAGCACTGTTTACACCTCTTGGGGTCCAGAGGCAGGGGCCCAGCCATCAAGGTAGCCGGAGTCCCAGGAAAGCATGGCACTGTGGAGGGAGGGCAATTCTAGTGACTAATCATCCCTCTTCCCCCTAGTTACCTCTCTGAGTGCAGATGATGTTTTGGGGAAGCTCCTGCCGCCGGTAACAAGATGGTACCGTCTCTCCAGGGAGACAAGCTTCTCTTTCTCCTGAGCGCACAGCAACAAGGAGAAAAAGGGGGAGAGCAAGAGAGTTAGTGACTGTCCTGAAAAGCATCCCAAAGTGAGGCCAACACCAGGGCAGCCACAGAAACGTCTTGGGCCCTTCCTTCCAGCACCCACATTGACAGAGACCATGTCATTGAGGTTCCTGCTCAGATCCGTTCTTCTCCCAGCCACAAGCAGAGGCAGCTAGTGACAGTCACACGAGTGGCATTAGCCCAGCCTCAGGCAAAGGGGTTCTCAGCCCTTTTCCTATCACTAGGTGAGCCTGAGTCAGGGTGTACAGCTGGGCTCCCAACTGGAACCTCTCCCCAGGACAGGGGGAGCAGTGTTTGGATATAGACCAGCTGAAAAGTCTGGGCTTAGTACCAGGTCCATCTCCATCAAGGTGGGAGAGACATGACAAGCCGAGCCAGGACAGCGCAGCCTGTACAGTTGCCCTCTCTATTTCCAACAGGCAATGTGTAACGTGACCCCATTGCTGGAGAGCAGAGCACATATGCTACATGGACTCATTTGGACTTGAAGGACATAGCAGTGCAGAGACAGGGTCCAGTCCCCCAAGGCAGTGCACTCTGTATTACTAAGCGTGCCTGGCCTGGCACACACTACCCCACTGAACCCCTTTCCCCATCTCCATCCAGCATGATTCCAGGATGTTACCTTCTGCAGCAGCTGGAGCACAGTATTCTTCTCCTTGGCAAGGCGCTCAGACTCCTGGGCAGCCTGGAGCCGGATGTGATTGGCCTGGCTTTCCAATGCAGCCACCCGCTCCTTAAAGAAAATAAGGCAAGGGTGAGCTGGCACCAGGCCCTGCAGGACAGCTTGGGAAGAAGTAGCTGGCTGGGAGGGAGGAAGAAGCCTTACCAGTCTGGGCAGGTATTTGGAGCCCTTCCATCCACTCCCAGAACAGGCATACGGCTGGCTTGGGGCAGAGAGAGAACTGTAGGAAGGGATGGTGCTTGGGAGCCAAAGGGCTGTTGTGAGCACAGGGACACCACAGGGCCGAGGGCATTACAGGAAGGGGCTAGGAGAGGAGATTAGACCAGAGCAAAGCTGGGCTGGGGAGTCCTAGGCTAAGGTGGGCTGGGAGGGGATTACAGAGGAGTCAGTTTCCCCCTCACTGCAGTGGACACTTCTGGGACAAGGGAGAGCCCAGGCTCCACAATCTTTGCCCAGGGGTCCAGGATCCTCTCCCCACCTTCCTCTTGGCGATACTGCGGTGGCACTCAGCCTTGCTCTGCAGGAGTTGCTGGCTCACGGTCTCACGCTCCTCCTCCAGGCGACTCTCCTTTTCCAGCTGCTGGAACTCCAAGTCCTCAAACAGCTTGGTTTCTGTCTCCAGGGCCTCTGCCTCCTTCAAACACACAACCATGGTTGCTCAGCTCCCTCTGAAACAGAGATGCCTCCCCTCTGCCCCCATAGCACACAGATGTACCAGGCAGGGACTGCTCTGACAGGAGAGCAGGTCACTGAGAAAGCAAGGGGCAAAGCTCCATTTGCTTGTTGCTTATTGGGAGGCACGGGGCAGTGCATAGCTGGTGGCTCTGACTGAGTGAGACATGGACCTCCTGCTCAACAGGGACCTGCAATCATGCCCAGCCGAGGGACCTACCCAGGCAAGGTCTCCTGCTCCACACGCACAAACTCTAGACAAGAAATGCACTCTCCCCACCAGTCTCACTGGCCTGACCCATCCTCCCACAGTGCTGCAAACCTATGTGATGCTCACAGATCAGCAGAGAGAGGTCCAGCCCAGAGAGTTCCCTGCCAACTACAGCAGAGAAAAAGAGATAATAGCTTGGGGTAGGGGATGATGTGCACCATAGGACAATGGGGACTTGTGATCTGCTAGAAAGAGGGTCAGGGCAAAGCAGTCTTGGCGGGGGCTCTGCACAGCCCACCAATCCTTGGCAGCAGAGATTCAAACAGCAGATTTGTTCCCTTACTTCTTTTTTTTTTTCTTAAAAGTTACTTCTATGAAAGATGCCAGCTGGGCACTCTGTGGGCTTAGGTTAGTGGGGCTGTCGAGCTGGGGTCACATGAAGGTCTTTCGCCAATATAATTAGTATGGCCAAGCCAACATGTTAGTGTGCTCCAGGAATGTGACCACATAGCCCAGAGATGGATGAGACTCCCAGGGTTTGAGCTAGATCACCTCCTGGACAGTGCAGGACTGAGCTTGGTGTAAAAAACATTTGTTTTATTTAGTTTTAAATGTTGACGGCATCTCTTGGGCAAGTGTGGATAAAATTCAGGGTTTGTAAATTCTACACTAACAGCAAGAGCCTTTAGTCATGTATTTTTATTTAGTTATTAATGTATTTTGTATTAATTAAACAAGATTTTGTTTGCATGTAAACATCCCTCTGCAACTCTTGCAAATCCAACAGGAGCTGGAGCATAGGAACTCAAAAAAGAAACTGACCAGGCTAGCTTTGCTGTGTAGGAAGCAAGAGGCAAACACTGCCTTGCGGGAACAGTGCATCTGATGTTTTAAATGCTTTACATTCCAGTCACTCTGTCGGTTAGTAACAAGCTGCAGAAGTTAGGGTTAGGTTTTAGCTTGCTTGGGATTTTTGCATTTTATTTAAAATACATATTTTTCAGCCTGACCATTTCAGAGAAGAATTTTTCCATGCAAACCGTTTAGCATCTATTTAGTTGAAACGTGCCTGTTCAGTGTCAATGGGGAGACACTGTTTTCCTGCTCTACATATCTCTACATGTCACTCAATGCATTAGGCATCTGTTGAGTTCCATTTTAAACTGGACATAGGTTTTCAGGCTGGGATTAGCTGTGACTCCTGCGGGGACCAGGAAAAATGCTTTAATTTATTGCACTAAAAGAGTTGGACATAATAAAAGGATGATATTCCATTCCCAGACGCTCCTGGAAAATCCCAGCTAATGGGAAAAAATGCTGCAGCACTGCGATATTGACATTATCTGGCCTGGATTGTATACATACATGTCCACAGGAAACAGCAGAAAACTGATATAGAGTTTAGTCCCTTGAGGCTTGCCGGCCTCTCGTTTCACAGAAGCTGGATTAAGGCTAAAGTTGTGTCCAGTATCAGTACAGCACCCAGAGGCTGGCTGCACCTGCATTTTCAATAGGCCTCTTCCATCTCTGCCAATGCCGAGTATCCTTGCTGCACTGCAGTTCAAGGGGCAGAGCGCAAGAGTTTCACTTGGCAGGTCCAATCTAAGTAATCAGGCCTGGGGTCTCTGAATTAGACATTCATTCCTTTGCACCCTGGTGCAGACTCCTCTACAAAAACTGCCTGAACAGAAACCCCACCTTATATCTCTTGGCCTCCAGCCACACAGGAGTTGTCCCTGGCAGAGGCAGGTGCTTAGGAGCAGCACCTAGGTGGAGGATTTAGCTCAAGGAGACAAGGGTTGCCCATTTTCCATGCTTGACGGGAGTCTGTAGTCAAAATCAGAGCTGGCCAAGCAGCCAAATTGCTCGTTTCTGTTGGTGGGTGGGGGGAGAGTGGGACTGAATTCACATCTGGGGACAGGGGGATTTGTACTACATTGCTCCAGTGCTCAGAATTCCCCCTCCAGGCACTAATACAAGGGGGGGGCAGGAAGGGAGCTTGCAGCACTTGCTACATTAGCACCCCCCAGAGAACAGTAGCAGTGACCAGAGAAGCGGCCGATGGAAAAGGAGGAGAGCACTAGGGAAAGAAACCTGCCCCCTCCTCACTTGCTGCCAAGAGGAGAGGCTGCAATGAGGTGTTATGGCATTCGGAGACAGGGACATGTGGAACTGGAGCTGCTTACAGTATCAACAGCAGCGGAGAGTCGCTCTGCAATCTGCTGGTGCACCAGCCAGGCTACATCCTGGGTGGTAAACTTACCAATACCATGGCACCTGGATGCCAGCCTCCTCCAGCCCTTGGTGTACTGCATTCAGTTTGGCACATGGCACCAGTGGAGTGCTGGCTCAGGCTGGAACTGTGGGCATGGAGGTGAGGGGGAGTGGGCAGTGATCCAGGAGGGTGGGGGTTAAACACTGACCCTTCTCATCTGGTCCTGTAACTGCTCCCGCATTGACTCAGGGCAGTTATCAAGCTGGCTCTTCGACTCATTGTAAAGCGCCTGGAGTTTCTCTAGCTCCTTCCTTTCAGCATCAACCTTTGCCCTTTCCTGAATCAGGGAAAAAACAACAAAACAAAACAAAAAAAAAAACAAAAAAAAAAAGAGAGAAAACACACTTCTCAAATCCGCGCCATGCAGAAGCTGGAGAATTAGACAGTGGCTCAAGCCAGAGAGAGAAGGGGCACAGGGAGGGGCATGTCAAAGAGGCATTTTCAAAAAGACTTAAAAAGCAAAAGCAGTTGGCATCCAGGGCTGGATTGGATTAGAACAGTTATTGCTCAGGACTGGACCTCAGTCTCATGTCTCAAGACAAAGGCTTTACAGAAAGCACATACCAGGCCACCTCTAGGTCTCGAGCAGATTAATGTTAACACGCCTTCAATCATCAGGGATGATGTCAGCACAGCACTGGGAATGGCGTTGTCAATTAGGTGTTCTGCACAATCGGTCATCAGAGGCATTTTCGTAGGCCCTACATTTTATTTTAAGTAAGTCTCAGGAACATCATTTTATAACAGATATTTCAAATCCAGGACACCATCAAATAATTGTAAAGCAGGTCAAATGCGGAGACTACACTACCAGTCAAACATCCTGTTCCATAGACAGGGATGTCCTGGCGTTCTGGTTTCCTTATGGACAACATGAAAAACAAGAGACTAAGATCCAATCTCTGCTCAGTTAATACAGGTTAACTCCCTGGGTCCTCAGGAACATTTCAGGTTTTATTTAAGTGAGTTAGTGATGGAGAGGATATAAAGAAAACACTTGTTCCTGGTCTAAAGAGAGGAAGAAATAGGTTCACCACCCCACTCTCCGACCCAGTTGAAATATGTAGTTGGCTTCAGTCCTGCATCAACATGCTGCATTTTCAGAGGAGCTGAGCCCCCTGCAGTTCCTAGGGTTCTTTTGGGGGTTCTGCTGGCATAAAAATTTATGATAAAACCCACTGTTCATGTGTCCAGGAACCCTGGATTAACAAAGCAATGCATTGCAACCAGTGAAAGCAACACTTTGGTCTCAAGACGTCCAGGGGATTTTATACTTATTTTACAGGTGGGGAAACTGAGGCAGACAGACAGCAAGTGATTTGCTTAATGTCACACAGTGAGACATTTGGAGAACCAGGACACTCTCGACTCCCTTTCCCTAGCAATAGCCCCATGACAATCCTTCCTCCCATCCTGCCCATTTTACCTCCACCTACAGGAATAAGTAACTAACTGAATGGGAGAAACCCCAGACTGGATTACCCCTAATTTGGGGTAAATCTGCATCAAAACCCTCTAACGTGAGACTCTCTCTCATACCAACCCAGAATGATGAGACCAGTTAGTGCAAATTAGAAAGAGGAAATAGGAATATTCCCTCCAATCCCTGCGTTGTTTTCAAATCCCCTGGGAGTCGCTGAGAAGTTTGCGACTGAATGAGATAACAACAGTGGCAGTAATTGGCTTGGACAAGGCACAAGTGTCTTTATTTACAGGGTGGCACCAGCAGGGCAGTACGGAATATGTTACAAATGGTTTGAACCATTAAGTTTGGACCCAAGTTTGGATCTAAACTGCTGAGAAGTTTGGGATGTTCAGATTATTGTAGTATATTATATCATATGAGTATTGGGCTCAGTACAGCAGTAACTGGATAAAATTATCAGGCTTGTATTATATAGGAGGTCAGACTAGATGATTTAATGGTCCTTTCTGGTCTTAAAATCTATGAATGAAAGATCTGGGGACTAGTTTGGGCTCAGCTCTAGAATTTATTATTTCTGGTTTTCAGCACCGAGTGCTGGCTACCTGGGCAATTGTTTTTTAAAAGAAGTATGAACCTGTGACCACAAGCATTTACAACATCTACTTACATATGGCACAATGTTCTGTGGCTTCTAGGAATCTCTTATCTGAAGAGTCAGAAACAGAAGCTGATTACCCCTACCAACACTTTAGTGAGGGGAAGTGTTATGAAACCCACTTTATGGCTAGGTAAGCTGAGGCACTAACAAGTAAAGTGACTTGTTTCAGAACACAAAGGAAGTCAGTGGTTGAGCCATGAATAGAACTCAGCAGTCCAGACTCCCTGACCCATACTCTAAGCACCAGAAAGCAATCCCTCAGAGTATCTGCACCTTATAACTTGAGTGCCACCCCTCCATACAGTAACATGGGCACAGGCCTTGGAAGGCTGTAGGCTGTCTCCAAAACAAGAGATCCATGCTCTCCCCATCACACTCAGAGGCTGCTAAATGGAGGATTTGGACTCATCCAAACAAACTCCTGCAGTTTTCTAGGAAATCTTTAACCACTAATGTTATGCTTTTGGGGTCCAAATTTCCAGTGCCAAACATCGCCAGATGTCCTGCACTACTAGACTGATGTGAGTAAGGTTCATGACCACCCAGCATTTCAGACAACACTATAATACCTATCTACACATGCGCATGGATGAGATCACACAATTCATTTCTAACAGAATAGAATTTGCCATACAAGCCCAGCTAGTTACATCCACTAAAGTCAGTTGCTTCTCAGTGACAACAGAATTCCTGGGCAGAGCTGCATCAAGTACCCTGCCACCTCCTCATCCCTGCAGTAGTCTGCTGCCTTTTAGCAATCCGCAAGCATGCCAGCATCCTCATGCCAGATGGCTTGTTTAACTTGACAAAGTGCTGTGGAGTGAGTCACGTCTCCAGACTGGCAAGAAACCCCCATGCACTCAAGGTGTCTCATGCACTCAAGGTGTCTGCTGCACTTCAGTGTGAAAGCCAGGAGGCTCGCTTTAATCAGAGATGCCTCATTGCTCTGCACTGCAAGCTGGGGCAGACTCACCCCCCATTGCAAGCAAAGTCACCACATCAAAGCCACAGGCAAAATCCTCCTTAGAATTAAGGAGCTCCCAGGAAATATTACATATGCAGCTCCCAGTATGAAGTGGGGCATACCGGGTGCGGGGCACAGGGGCATCTCCACAGAACAGACAGACCATAATGAATGCTCCTGCAGTAGCCAGAGGGGAGGGAGGTGGTGACCTAGAGAGTTCCAGGCCTGACTCTCCCCTCACTCACACAGGTTTTACATCACTGTCACCCCAAATTTACACCAGGTCTGACGGAATGGAACTATGCCCTGCCCTTCATCTCTATACCTTGTGGCTACCAACAAGCCTCTTGGCAGCAAATCCATCCCTGCTCCCCAAGGTGCTCAGCCTCCAACTAGCTCTCCATGCTGAAGCTCACATCACCCCAGTTAGTCCCATGAAAGAACCCAAGAATACCTGCAAAGCCAGAATGCCACACAGGATATTTCCTTCACCTTGGGGTGGTGGTTAAACCAAACAATGCAAAAAAACGTAGGAGTAACATCTTCCGAGGAGCTAACCCAATCCCCCTCTCCCTCTGCCAACTCCTAGCAAGAGGCCAGGAAACACTCCACTGTAACCAAAAGAGTCAGAGCATGAGACCCTATCAACATGAGAATCCACTCTCTCTGTGCATGTCAGTGCCCCACAGGGTAGGCTACTAGATACACCAGGAACCCATCTACACTACAATCAGAAGTGGGTCATAGGAGCTGGTTACAGCAAGGCTAGAATGGGCAACTGTGTCCCCAAATTAACCTGGATCCAGGGATGTTATGCCACTAACAATTGGTAAGCAGTCATATAGCTGTCACAGAGAGGGTCTAATTGGTCAGAGGAGCAGCCAAATTGATTTTCATGCTGCTCACTCAGACCAGGGTGAATAAAGATCATGTAAGAAAGCTTGAATTCTCAACCCAAGTCAAATATCAAAGTCTATTAGCTTTGATTTTTCAACATATTTTGTGTAAAGCAAACAATATTCCCAGAGGCACATGTCCAGCTGCGGTTACTCTGACTGTCCCTAATATGCCCCCTGCACCTCCTCCTCTGTCTGCACCATGTGGTTAAATGTTGGGAAGGAAATTTAAAAACCAGGAACATTACAAACAGTGATCCATGTCTCTCTCTCTCACATGCTCCCACAGGGTTAATGGAGATCTGAATTTATACTAACAGGTGGATTTAGGTGCTAGTCCAGAAGCACCAGTTCCTGTCCCAGGGCAGCTCAGAGTACATGTCTCAAGGAACCAGCACTGCTAAAGAACAGCTGCCCAAGTTAGGCCCAGGTGTTTGGAGTGTGCACAAGTGCTAGAGGTTATGGGGGCCCCATAGCATGCAGAGGCATGAGGGATTAGAGACACATTTCGGAGTGGGCGCCGTTAGAGAGAGTTAGTGCTGACTGATTAGGAAAGCGAAGGGTTAAGACGGCAGAGACTTTGGGAGTGTGGTTTCTTTTAGTCCCTCTCCTGACTCCATATGGAGCTGGTTGTTTCACTAGGCATGGTTTGCAAAAGGGCTGTAAAATTAAAAAAAAAAACAATCCCAGCACATTGCATCTGTGCAGGAGGGGCTGCCTGCATCCTGCCACTCACAGGCTTCACCTTGTCCAGCCTCAGAAATAGTCACCAATGAAATGAATCAGGACCTGGTGCGTTTCTAGCCTTGGTGCCAGCATGGCTACACCCCACTGGGTTGCCATGGAGAGGGCAAGGACCGCAAAAACATCCATTCACTGTGTGGGACAGTATGGAATCCCTGGAGGGACAAGGGCAAAGGTTCTAAGAGAGCTGGACGAGAGTGAAAGTTGATCTCACTGTTGGGAATGTGCTCAGCTCCCACTGATCCTTGCTCCACAGAGTGATGCATTCCGGGCAAGCCTGGGACTGCACTCCAGTGCAGTCAGTTACCTTCCTGCATGGGAATGGATCGTCTCCAACAAGACTCCTTGAGATAGGTCCCTGTGTGGATATGCAGTTCTGAGGGGGCACCAGCAGAGGGTTCTGTTGCTGTGAAGGGCAGAAATCATCAGCAGGAAGGGCGGTTTTGGTGCAGTTTCTGATGGGAATGGGGGTACAGTTTGTCCTGCAGAGGTTATTGCAGGGGACATTCAGGGTTGAGTGTTGGAAGGTTGCAATGGGTACCACAGAGGAAGCTGCATTCAGATGTCTTTCTGGAGTTGTGCGCGTTTCTGCATGGGTGTGGAGGTGTTGTTTCCCCTGTTAAGAAGCATACAGCAAGCAAGACCCCAGAACTGGAAGGGAGGCTGAGATAATGGTCTTTGGAAGGTGCATTCTGGCTCTTGTCCCCCCTCCTCTCCAGCATTCTGGGAACCACGTCTCAGGCAACAAGCTGGGAAATTAATGACCTCTTGGTGGCATCATGGTCAAAGCTGAATGATGCTTTAAATGGAGTGACACGAGAGTCTCCAGCAAGCTAAGCACTGCAGCTGTCATCACCACTTGCACACAAGCACCTGGAGCTGTCGATTGGTGGGACATATAGAGAACTGACAAACTCACTGCAAAACCTTATACATCAAGGCCAGTGTAGGAAGCAAGGGGGCATGACTGACAAGTAACCCATGTGCTGCCCAGGTGAAGGCTGAGGCCAACAGAGAAAGCTCCAGAAATTGGCATCTTGTGGAAAGGTTCAATGAGTGCAAAGGTGACTCCCAAAGTGCACCCCAAGCACCGAAAGGAGCTGCCCTCCCCCACCAGAGCCCCAAGAATGGACAGTTCCAACCCCAGACAGGCTGACAAAACTCCCAAGCCAGTGGCCAGTCCGCACCAGGATACCAGACAATGGCAGAGAGAAGGGAAATGCTCTGAGTAGAGGAAGTGCTTTCTCAAGCTGGCTGCAATAAATCCAGCACCTCCTATCTGGGGGTGAACATGCCTGGGGCAGCCCCCTCCTCATGGAAATGGCACTTTAGATGCCCACCAGGTGATGGCAAACCCTTTGAGAAGGGGGGCCCAGAGGCAGATGACACAGGCTTTCTTGGGAACGGATGGCCAGTGTGTGCAGTGCACAGAACCTATGCCATTCTCCCCCAAGATCAGCAGATGACCAGATAGGTCAGTCTCTTTGGCATCGGAGCCAGAAGTATGTGCGCAGGAACAACACTTTCCAGCAGGGAAGAGACCTGGGATTCAGCAGCCCCTTGGGGGGTCTCTGGGGGTGCACCCTGCACCCATTGCTCCAAGGCACAGACAGGGGAACTCTCAGCTCTGGGGTTTACCTTGTCCCGCTCCTTCTGGATGCTGGAGTCCAGCTCGCATAGTTTCTCTTGCAGCTGCTGCACGATCTTCTGTTCCTGCTGCAGCTGTATCACTTCCGACTCCTGCTCCCCTTGCAGCAGTGCCCGCTCCATCTCCGCCTAGGCAGACACAGCCATGTCACAGCAGTGCTGCCCCCGCCAGCCCTCATCTCCCAACCTCATCACAGGACCCCCAGAGGCACAGCAACGCCTGGGTGGGACATGGCTCTGCTGGCAGAGATAAGCCAAGGAGGGCAACTGGTTTTGGGTCAGGCCCAGATGGAGGTCAGCGCTGAGGCTAATGGCTCAGGTTCAATGGTTCTCAGACCTCACATGCTCTCCCCATGAGATCTCGGCTCCATCAAACATGGGAATTAGAGACAGGCCCCATGAAGCCTCAAGTCAGAGCCAGATCCAACCTGTCAGGGTTAGTTCTGACCCTCCATTCTTCTCTCCCCCACCAAACAAACAAAACTTTGAAGGGGTCAGATTTAAGGCTCTGGTCCGGGTTCCCTTCCCTGCCTTCCCCAGTCTAAGGGGAATGGAGCCCAGCCGGGCTCCACCTTGGCCCCCAGTGAGTGTCCTGCACTCTTCCCCCACCCCAGGAGCAGTAGAAAGGGTTTCGCTCCACCTCATGGGACGACTCCTGCAGCTGCTGCTCCAGCTCCTTGACATGGCTCTTGAGCTCATCCACATGGCCCAGCACCCGCACCCACTCCTCCTCCAGCAGGGCAGCCTCCTTGGTCTTGGAGCCCGTTGAGTCCTCGTGCTGCTTGGGAGAAACAGCGACATCACTGGGGGACTGCTTATTTGCTATTCACAGAGTAGGGAGTGCACACAACACTTCAGCAAAAAGAGGGTCCTGCCCCAGAGCTCACAGCCACTCCCAATCCCCGTCAGCCCACCAGCGACAGCCCTCCAAGGTAGGGCAGAGATGGGGGTGCATCAGGCACAATGTGTGACTCTCAATGCACAGCCCCCTCCACCCAGCGCCTGCTACCAGTGCCCCCATGGGATTCTGCTGTACCACCAGTCAACCTTGCAGTCTCATACATGGGGTTTTGTGTTGATACACCCAGAAACCCACCACTGCCCATGCCCAGATCGGGTCATAAGCACATCTGAGTCCAGCAGCAGTAGGGTCCCCTGCAGGACATTTCCCCCCCCCCCCAAAAAAAAAAAAAAAAAAAAAAGAACCAACAACCTCCACCCTCCCACCTCAGGGCAGGTGCTTTCTTGTGCTGTGGACCCCGCCCACACGCACCTTGTGGTGTGTGCGCTGCGCCATGTGGGGACCCCCCCATCTCATGGTGGGTGCTCTCCATGCTGGGGAGGCCCTGACCCCCCATCCCTCATGGTGGGTGCTCTCCATGCACTGGGCCCTGTCTCCCCTCACCTCGTGGTGTGTGCTCTCCGTGCTGCTACTTTCCTCCTTCAGATTCTCCTCATCTGATTTCTCCAGGCTCTCCCTCTGCTGGGGCCCTGTGGCCTCTCCAGTTTCCACTATGGCCTTGCCAAGGCCCAAGGCAGCCAAGCTGGCAGAGCCCCTGGAGTGCCTCCTGGCTGTCAGGATGTTGGTGGTGGCATCTCCGTCACTTGGGAAGTGCTGGTGCGAGTTGCCTGTCTCTGTGATGCCATCAGTTCTGGTGTATTCCGCACACAGGTTCAGGATGGTCTCCAGGCGCTGGCGCTCCTGGGCAAGGGTTACAGGGAGGAAGGGGTGGGTGGGTTGCCTGGTGGGATGGGTCCTCACACAGATATGGGGGGCCAAGCAAGCAGGAACTGGAAGGCATGTGAACCCAGGCCCCACTGCCCTGGGCTTTCCCCCTTGTACTCCATCCCTGCATCACCCTGTGACATCAAACTCCCTGAAGTGACACTTGTGTTGGACTAAAACACTGATCCCCCACCCCTTGCTCCCCCGCATACTGGCCTTGTTCTTTTGGGCCTGACAGATGGGATTGAGTCCTGGGGGGAAGAAACAGGGGATACAGACACCTGCTTGGACCAAGCCTTAATACAGCTCTCCCAGTAAAGTGCCCAGACATCATGAACATTCATCTCTCCCATCTCCTGCTGCCATGTCATTTCTAGCATGCATAACCGGGCCTGGATCACATGGCAGTGAGCCAGATAAGGAAGGGAAGCTCGTTCCAAAGCCTCCCCATCTCTAGCCTGGCCAACATGGGGAAAGTGTATCCCCATGCATTCTCAGGGGATCCTCAACAAAGAGGCATCCAGCTGCATCTCGCTAACAGGGCTTCACCCAGGGAGTCTGGGATCCTCCAGGATGCATGTGCAGTCCCACTGAATTGCAGCCGCCTTTGGGGCAGATGACATTAACCAGCCCACAAATGATGGGAGGAGAAATTCTGGCTCAGGTGCGTGGGGATGAACCTCTCTTGCTGCCAGTTGTGCTGAGGGGATCTGTAATGTCCATGGAGAGCAGACAGGAGGTTGGGTTTAAAAGCCGTGGCTGAAAGACCCTCTGAGTACATGTACACAGCAATTAAACACCTGTGGCTGGCCCAGGTCAGCTGACTTGGGCTCACGGGTCTCAGGCTGCAGGGCTGTAAAACTGCTGCCTAGATGTCCAGGCTCAGGCTGGAGCCCGAGCTCTGGGACTCTGCAAGGTGGGAGAGTTCCAGGGCCAGACTCCCGCCTGAGCCTGAACATCTGCACAGTAATGTTTAGCCCAAGCCCCACATGCCCAGATTAGCTGATCAGGCCCAGCTGCAGCTGTGCCACAGGTCTCTTACTCCAGTGTAGATGTATGTTGTGTAGCTGCAGGCTGGTACCTAGGAGGATGAGGAACTCAGTGGACTCTGCAACTCCAGGAGCTCCCTCTCCATGCCTGATGCTCAGACCATTAGACCACACAGAAGGGAGTGCCCAGCTGCAGACAAACAGGCAGGGTGCACCAAGACACCCTAACCCCCTGGGCTTAGGCAGCTCGGTGCTGCATTCACAGACTGCTGAACTGCTGGCTTGAGGAGTCACCCTATGCTCAGGACCAGAGACAAGGGGCCCCAGCATAAGGGAATGGCTTGGAACAAACCTCCCCAGGCTCCTGCAAGGGCATGGGGCAGAGTCTGGACATACATGAGAAAGTGGTACTGGATTAGCTTAAATTGTTTGTTAAACTCATTTTGTTGAACTGGAGCAGGCCAGTGTGGATGCTCTGACTGCCATTTAGCTTAAATTGATTCCTAAGCAACTAAAGCTAAACAGAACTAAGTTTGGTTTAAAGCCAAAATAAGACTAAAGCACTTCTTCAGTTGAACCAGGGACCTGAGACAATTGCCTGTTGGTGCCAGGGGCTGTTTCAAGAGCAGGGCTTCTCCCAGGACTTGGATTTGTATCAAGGCATTGCTGGCCAGAAGGGCACCTGGAGATGTTGGATGAGCTGCGAAGCTCAATCTGAGCTTCATGCCTTGGCCACTGAGACAGCTCAGCAGCACAGCTCCACATAGCCCAGAGGGAGGCACCCAGAGTCCTCCTCTCCACTGGATGGGTGTGGAGCCAGACTGCCTATCCCTGGAGTGGGAACTGAAAGAGATAGGAGCAGCCTACACTGCTTTCAGTGGAGCCCATCCAGCTGCTCCAGGACATTTGAGGAGGGAAAAGGAAAACAAGGGAACCCCAACAAATGTCTCATCCTCTTCAAATCCCACCAGCAAATCAACCCCGACACAGCATCCCACATGCTTCTGGGGCAGCTGCTTCTGCAACAACCAGAGGAAGGGTTTGCTTCTGCCAGCTCCCTCCAGAATCACTGATTCCACAGCACTCTCCCTCCCATGATCTGAGCCCCCAGGGTCTGGCAGCATTTGCTTCCCACCGGGGTAGGAAACCAAGCAGAAGCTCGTGCCGTATTATTAAGGGGATGTTCTCAGGACAAAAGTCATACTCACACAGCAGGGATTTATCTACATTGCTAGTCACCCTGGGGAGCAGAATGCATGGACCCATCCCCTTCCCCACCTCTCTATCAGTGTCCAAGGTCACCTACAGCGTCTCAAGCTCCAGTACACTGCTGCAAATCACACCCCAGATGGGACCCCCTGTTTACAAAAGGCAAGCAATCCCCTCCCCCCAAAGGAGAAGCAGCACAGAGACAAAACAGACGTGCCAAGACCAGTCATTTCCTAATCATAGTGAAGTGTTCAACTCCTGGTAGATCATGAGGGGCAGGACTGTGCCTCTCCAAGGCCCCACGAATCCCCACCTGGTGCCGAGGGACTTGGTTCTCATTCATTAACAAACTCCTGGGAGGTGAGTGGACACACGTGTCTATCTAAAAGCCTGCAGAGCTCCCCAGGTTTACCTGGGTGAACAAGTGGTCCCCGTCACTCATTAGTTACACAGTGTGCACACAACACAACCTGTCCTAACACATTCCTGGCCCCGCCCATGCCCTCTGCCAGATGTTGCTCACTGACACTCCTGACTCTGGGCCAGAGTACAGTGCTATTACTCACTCCAATGTACAGGAAGGGGAGGGACGAGGGAGGGTTTGTTTGAACCACTTGTTTCATACAGGTTAACATGGCCACACACCAGGTCCAAGGAAAATCTGGGAGATGATCCCAGAACTCCAGGTTCTAAGTGCTCTGCTGTAACCACTAATCCGTGTTCTCTCCCTAACTGATACCCATCCCCACTGCAAGGAACCACCAGCCACACAGCACTTGTCTGGTATGCAGGGGACCAGGCTACCCCTTGAGTTGCTTTCCCAAGCAGCCCTACCCAACCAAAAGTGCCTGCAACCCCTTGTTACCACTCCCCAAGGCCTGATAATCCCAATCCCAGGAATTTATTCCAAAAAGTTTTCAGCCTCTACTCCTTCCCAACAGGCTGCTCCCATCACCTGCCTGGGCGCATGAGTGACCACCAGCTTTGCAGATGCCAGTGCTGTCCTGTGAATCAGTGGCAGGAGACTGCTAAGGAAGCAAGAATAGCTGTGTGCACACACACACATGCAGATACAAACTCACAACCCTTACCAGCTCAGTCTCACAGCCAATCTCAACTGGTCTGGGAAGCCAGTGGCTTGATGGACCCACAGAGATACGGGTCACATGCCACAAAGAGTGCTGCCAACAATTAAACAGCTCTGCAAGTTGAGATGAAGAATCTGAAGAGCCCAGATGGCAGACACTGGGCCTTGACAGCTTTTGGGAAAGGGATGAAAATCAGGGACTGATTGTACAGCAGCAGGCACCACACATAGCATCAGAGGGACAATGAAGACCGACCTCCGTCCCACAGCTCTGCCAGCGCCCTCAGTACAAACCTGCAGCCCCCAGCTATTCCAGTCCTGGGCCACTGTTGAACAATGACTGACAGGCCACAGAGCAGAGTGAGTTTAGTTTTGAAATAGCACAGCCGGGCAAGCACCCACTCCGCTCCAGGTGCATTCCCAGCCCAGGTAGAGCGAGGGAGGAGAACGGGGCAAAGGTCTGGGAGGGAAACAAAGGAAACGGGGCAATGAAAGGGAGGGAAACAAAGGAAAGCCTGGGATAGTGGTGCACAAAAAGCCTTGCAGCAGCCTTTCCAACCTGCACTGACCCTGGCTAGAGACTGAGGGGGTGAACTGCAGCAGCCACAAAAGAAGTGCTCCCCATGGCTCAAAGGGATGGATTCAGCACCCAGCTCACAGCTGCTCCTGCTAGCCCCACCCCCACATAACTTCCTCCCCCCAGGTCCACATACTCACAGAGGGATCCAGCCCCACTTTCATGGTCCGTCAGATGTTCCTCCAGGGAAGCAATTCACCTTCACCCTCTCGCCCACCTGGATTCAGCACCACCCCATGCAGGGTGCCAACCCGCTGCCCCGTGGGAGACACGTGACCGGCTGGGAGTCAGAGATAGACTAATTACATAGACTACAGCCCCAGGCTGGAGAGCCGCATGCTACACAGCGCTATTTCTGGACGGTGAATCAGGCAGTCTGAGTGCAAACTGCAGCTCCAACCTGAGTCAGTTCTGAGTAAACAGGACTCCCTCCCCCACCCCAGCCAGATGCAGCCTGGGAGAAAGGATCCCCCATCCTCCTCTGAGCCTGGGTGAGGAGAATTATGGTCTTGTGGTTATAACACAGAACAGAGTCAGGACACCTAGTTGTATCAGGACACCTGGGTTCTACTCCCAGCTGTGCCACTGACACGCTGCATGACCTTTGGCAAGATATACACCCTCCCTGTGCCTCCGTCTCCCCATGGGTGCAATGGCGGTTGATGATCCTGACCTGACTGGGCTGGGAGAGGCTGAGACAGGCTGGGAGACCCAGGGGGCAAGCACTGCAGGGGGCAAAGGACATTCAAGAGAGGGGCGAGTGTGGGCTCCACCTGTGGGACAGGTCAGCTCCCTGTTGGGGGAACAGAAGGGATGGCCTCAGACAGAAAGGCCCTGGATAAGAGGGGGATAGTCACCTCAGGAACCTAGTGCCTGGCTGCCCCCTCCATAGCCTTACCCTGGGAAGCCCGCACCAGGCACCTCATGGCCCCTTGCACTGCGCTGGCCACCAGAAGGATTCACAAGGGGGGGCAAGGGCAGCCTGCCAGGCTCTGACACCTAGCTCATCAGCCCCCATTCTTGCTTAGTCCTGAGGGATTACTATAGCAAAGATGATTAATAATATTGGGGGTGGATGTCCAGGCCCAAGGACAGCCTGGCCTTTGGCTCAGGCAGAGCCCCAACCAAGCTGGACTGCCCCAGACATTCCTGTGTTCCGCTGCTGTGGATTCACAGAGCTGTAGGTGCTTTCAGAACCATCTCCCTCTCATTCTGGGGACCAGACTGCCAGGGGTAAGGGCACAACATCAGCTTCCCGCTCAGCCAAGAGACACAGAAGGGGCTGGGTTGGGAAGCCAGGCCCCATGTGTGGAGTGGGTTAAATCTGAATAGTCTAAGAAAATGGGGTGCATCCCTCTGACACTGGTCCCACAGCAAATTCCCAGCACCCACCTGGCCCTCTTCCCCCTCGGCCCAGCTGTCTGTGGAATCCCAGACTCCCAATCCAGCCTTGCTCAGGGTGGAAAGTGTCTCCCTATAGCTGGGGCAGACAAAGTGCCCATAGGCTCTAGCTCTCCTGCTAGAAGGGACAGGGATATGCAGGAGCAACCTTCCCATCCTGTCTGTGAGGTGCCTGTCTCACCCCTTATGCCTCCTCCCACAACTTGATGCCTCCAGCCACTGCCTGAGGGTTTATGTACTCCCCAGCCCTACAGTGACCATCAACCCACAGGTCCAGAGAGAACAGGCGGGAGAGTCAGGCTCTCTCCAATGTCAACTCTGAACAGAGCAAGACAGCACATTAACAAGGGCACTATAAACCTCCAGCTGGCACCGTGCTGCAGTGTTCACTATCCCCAAAGCAGGGGCACCCGTAGGCTGCTGAGCTGTGGCGTAAGCCTCTCCTGGGCTGGCATAATGAGGTACTGGGGGATGGAAGGACCATTCTCAGGGGTGAGTTTTTAGGGCTGGAATGGGCCCCTAGCATGGAAGGGAGGGGAAATCGGGGTCTCACTGCAGTGCACAGGATAGAGAGGGTGATGATACCCTGCACCAACCCAGGAAGCTGACACCCACCCTATTCCTTCCATGTTGGGTGTGGAGAGACTCTCTTACACTCCACGCCATAGCTCTGGGAGCACCTAGGAAAGGGACTGACTGCCACTTGCCAAAGCACAACAGCCTGAGCCAGACATTAAGGAGTAGAACTACTCCCTGGCCATCCCCCAGCCTTGGGCGCAGCCAGACAGCAAGCCTGGATCATGCACAGCATGCAGCCCAGTCAGAGTCATGCTAGTCAGGGACAGCTAACACTTCGACCCCAGACCCAGGCCCTCTGCCTCATATACTTGTCCCAATTCTGAAGGCAGACCTGTCTACAAACCCTACGCTCCTCTGGGAACCCTTTACCTTAAAGAAAGGGATCTCAGGCACTGAGCCCTTTGCCTTAGTCAAATCCTACCCTTGCAGTCTGAGGCCATGGACAGGGAGGTGAGCTGTGCTCCCCTGTCCCCAAGCACATGGCTGGGTGCTGGACAGCCTCCTGGGAAAACAGACCAGACACTCCATGAGCTCTCACAAAGGACAGCTCAACAGCCATCTTCGGTGGTTTTGGCTCTGGCTGCAGCAGTGACCCCCTAAGGTAAGCAGTGCAGTCAATAGGTGCCTCCCTGATCCCATTACCTGTGCAGAGACTTCTGCCCAGCAACTACCATCTGGCTTGCCCCAGCACACCACCTGGTAGCAAGGGGAGGGGTTTTGCTACACAATCTCTTTGAATCACCCTGGACTGGTCCCCTTTATTGGCGACACACAGACAAAGGAAGAGACAGATGCACTAGGCAAACTCCACCCTTCTCCCAAGCCAGGCAGCTGCCTAGTCTATAAAAACTCTATCCCATGGCCTAAATATGGGGCCTAAGTGCCCGCAAGACCTCCCATCTGCCAGGACCCTTGGAACATTATCTGCACAATACATGCAATTCAATTAAAAGGGCCCAGGCAGCTAACTACTTTGGCAGGAAGCTGGAGTACCAGTCTGGCATCCCCCAAAGAGCATACGGTCAAATCCTGAGGGCCTACATTTAGAGAAGAGGCCTCAAAGTCTTATACACACAGGCCAGACTCTGCCAGTCAATACCCTGTAGGCTCACACCCCACCCTGTACATGGAGACTCAATAATACAACCCACAGGCTCTGCAGATTTACAGTTCACCCCATATAAATGCACATCACTTAGCTACATAACCTGCCAGCACTGTCCTGACTTGAATCCATTAGGTTCCCTGTCCTATTATGATGGTTAATTGCATATTGGCTTCTGCATAATCCAGTTATCTGTATTCAGAAGGGAGGCTCAAGTGCTGCTCCTTGTGGTAATCTCTCCAGATAAGCAAGGAGTCCAGATACTCAGAGGCCTATGCACATTATTGGTATGCAGCTGCTAGTAACTGCAGCAAAATGCACAGCAGTTTGAAAACAGTAAAATTCCAAAGCCCTTTGCAAGAATACACAAGCCCTTATTCCAACTGCCTGGCTCCCTGGTATCTGGGTGCTGGTCTGGGCTTCGAAAGAGTTAAACTCAAAACATCACCGAGGGTATAAAAAATCCCAGGTCACTGTGACAGCAAGAACGTATAGTGCCAGTGAGGTGAGTGGAGAGACTAGAGAGCTCTCCAATGATGCATACACCTTCCAGTGCCGTGTGCTCTGCATACCGGTATGTGGCACAGCAGGGTCAGGCCCACAGCAGTGTGTGCAAGCACAAGGCAGAGTCAGACTAAGGGGAGGGCTTGGCAACTGCTCCAGAACAAGGAGGATCCCAGACCCTATGCATCCTGGAGACTGTGCAAGGCCAAAGCAACCCAGTAGCCAATGCCACAAGCCCCTCGGCCATCAGCAGAGCCGCTCTCTCCCCTATCTGAGGGATAGGCTGGGCCTGTGGAGGGCACTGTGGTTGGCTTCCTGCCTCCCCTTCACAAATCCCTGCTAGGCATTTGAGGGTGTCAGGGGGCCTGTAGGTCATGTACACAAGGCAAGAGCTTTCCAGGCTCTGTAGCAAGCTACAAGCCTGGGGCTCACCAGTAAGTACCTTACTATGACCACTAATTATGCCCCCTGCCACGGATGCGTAATGGGCGTTATAGCAGGAATTGCAGTGCTATTGCTCCTATAAAGCAGCATGCCAGCTGGAACAGAGGGGGAGGGAAAAGGGGTCACTGCAGCCAGTGTCTCACTCTCAGCAAACACCGCTCTGACAGGGAACAAGGGCGACAGCAGCCCCCCAGGGCTCCAGCGAACTTGCCAGACATGATGTGAAACTGGAGGGGCCCAGGATACAGTCAGCAGATGATAGCATCTGAGCTTACAGCTGTGAGGAATGAAGGTCAGAGATGCAGCACATTAACTCCTCAGCTGAGGATGCTGTGCTGAGGGAAGCAGGCAAGGATCACATGCAGAGTCTCACCCAGCTGCTCAGCAGACTAATGAGTGGGGCAGCTCCTACCACTGCTGCCCCAGCTGTGGGAGGATGCAGCCACTTGTATACAGCATGTGAATCTGAAGTGGGCAGGGCAGAAAGGACCCAGGAATCAAATCCCACAGGGAATGGATTGACCAGCACAGCTCAGGCCACGTACCCAGGTAGTTTGGTGTCCTGCCTCCCATGGTGCACAGAGGGGAGGCAAAACAGCCCAGCATGCAGCCGGCCAACAGTACCACGTGGGATGGCGGCTCCTTTCTGACCCTCTCAATGACCAACTGATGCCCTGAGACCTGATCAACCTTGGTCTAAGTCAAAGCAACCTAGCCAGCATCACAGCAACCAGTTCCAGCAACACCAAGAGCCTCTTCCCAGCTGCTGCAAGGGTCTTGGATAAACCGGATATTCCTAAACATCCAGTGCTTTACCCACTGTGGCGCTACCTGTGCTCTTCAGAATGGGCAACAGTATCAACGAGCGTGGACTAAAGAAGACCTCACTTCTCCCTCAACATCCAGTGCTCCCCCTTGCCCTAGAACTCCACATCTATCTGTAGCGCTTCCCCAGCTATGTCCCATCTCCAACTCCTTACCAGGCCCCATTTCCGTGCCATGCCCTACCCCTCACCACGCCCCGTCCCATCCTGTCCCCATGGCATGCCATGCCTCTCACCAGGCGTTCCATTTCCTGCTCACGCAGCCGCTCCTCGCGCTGGCGTCGGTGATACTCTAGCAGGTCATCCTCATTGTCACTGATCTCAGTGATGCTGTTTTTGCGCTCCCTCGTACTCACAGACAGCCGCAGATCTCCTGACAGCTTCCTCTGTGCCCGGGGGCTCTGACGGGGTGAGGGCATGACCAGTGACCCCAGGCTGTATGCAGGGCTGAGGGTGATGCCGAAGCTGGGCTTATGCTGGGAAGTAAGTTCTGACTGGAAGATGGGTGAGGGGCTCCTGGTTCTCAAATTCTTTCCCGTCAAGGAGGAGGAGGAGGAGAAGTCTTCATGCCTCTCCAGGGGCCTGGCTGCCTTGCGCCGGATGCGAGGGCTCTCAGGAACCTCCTTGGCCAGCTTGGTCTGTTGAGAGGGACTTTCTTGGGGGGTCCTTGCTTGGGGAGACAAGGCAGAGGGCAGCGGTGCTGCCCGGCGAGACAGGGAAGGGCTGAGGGGAGGCAAGTCCCTCATGCTCTCCACGCTCCTTCTGCTCATTCTGGGACTCTCAGGGGGCTGCAGAGAGCGGCTGTCCTGATTGATGTGGATGAAACCCGCAGTCTCCAGGGGCTGGAAGACTCTTGCCAACATCTGCCGGGAGGGGCTGGAGGCCAGGTGCCTGTCAATGCCAGGGGGCTCCCTGCCCTCCCTAAAGGGGCTGGGTGGGCGCTCTTGAAGAGCTACCATTTTCAACCTCTGAGCAGATGGTGACTGAAATTTGGGTGCCAGCCGGGGGCTGCTGGTAGGCTGAGCCTGGGGGCTCCCTGTTACATAGTCGCTCAGGCTTACAGACACCGGGGGCATGTGCTGGTTAGGATGGCCCAGCTGTGTGCTTTCAACAGCTCTCCGGGTACTGGAAAAGGCTGAAAGCCCAGGGCCTTCAGGGTGCAGGGCTCTCTGGCCAGGCGTGGGGCTCAGGGGAATGCCATGCACTGCCCTCCTCTGCATCTTAGGACTCTCTGCAAGTTGTGTCTCACTTGTGTCCATGGTGCTGTTCCTCAAGTCCAGGCTGGAGCCCCCACATGGAGGTGGAAGTGGCCGCTGCTGTGGGGGCTGCATTGCATGGTTGTAGCTGGAAGATCGCACTGGCACCACTGGGGGGATGGGAGGTCCGTGCTCCTGGCTACTGGGAGAGTGACTAGTGTAGCTGCCACTGCTGGCTGGGGATGAAAGCGGGGAGAAGGGTGGTGATGCGTTGTCATAGCTGGAGCCCACAGACATGGCCCCAGGGCTCAAGGGTGGGGACAAGAAGTAGTGCCCGCCACCATTCACCACTGAGGACACAGGGGACTGGACATTGGCAGAGAGCTTTTTTCTGGAAGAGCTCGAGTCCTCCATCACCAAAGAGTCCATGATGTCTTGCAGGTCCTTCTCGATGGAGCTGACCAGGGAGCTGTGGCTGGGCCGGGGCCTCACTCCCTGCCCCTTATGGATATCATTCAGAGACAGCTGGTGGTTGCCATTCACTAGACTCTCCGATTCTGCCAGAGGGAGAGACAGGAGCACATGTTAGCCAAGGAGACAGCACCATTAACCTCACAGCCCAACCCATGCCAAACCCCTCCACTCAACCAGGCCATGTGGGCAGAGACAGGCCAGAACCAACATGTGCCAGGGAGCAAACATTCAACCCCTGCTCCACATGAGGCAAACGGCCCTTTTCTAAGGCAGGATGGCCCAAGCACTGTCCCACAAAACCCCAGCTGCAAGTCAGTTCTGGAGACTCTAGGGGAAAGACGACAACGCAGGGCCTGCTCTCCAAAAGGCTGGCGATGGAGGAACCAATGGCCACCAAAGCCTGGTGGATCAGTCTGGCCTCGGTCTCTGGACCTACCTACCTCTCCTCTATATAACAGAATCATAGAATATCAGGGTTGGAAGGGACCTCAGGAGGTCATCTAGTCCAACCCCCTGCTCAAAGCAGAACCAGTCCCCAACTAAATCATCCCAGCCAGGTCTTTGTCAAGCCTGACCTTAAAAACCTCTAAGGAAGGAGATTCCATCACCTCCCTAGGTAACCCATTCCAGTGCTTCACAACCCTTCTAGTGAAATAGTGTTTCCTAATATCCAACCTAAACCTCCCCCACTGCAACTTGACACCATTGCTCCTCGTTCTGTCATCTGTTACCACGGAGAACAGTCTAGATCCAACCTCTTTGGAACCCCCTTTTGGGTAGTTGAAAGCAGCTACCAAATCCCGCCTCATTCTTCTCTTCTGCAAACTAAACAATCCCAGTTCCCTCAGCCTCTCCTCATAAGTCATTTGCTCCAGCCCCGTGATCATTTTTGTTGCCCTCCGCAGGACGCGTTCCAATTTTTCCACATCCTTCTTGTAGTGTGGAGCCCAAACCTGGACACAGGACTCCAGATGAGGCCTCACCAATGTCAAATAGAGGGGAACGATCACGTCCCTCCATCTGCTGGCAGTGCTCCTACTTATACAGCCCAAAATGCCGTTAGCCTTCTTGGCAACAAGGGCACACTGTTGACTCATATCCAGCTTCTCGTCCACTGTAACCCCTAGGTCCATTTCTGCAGAACTGCTGCCTAGTCATTCGGTCCCTAGTCTGTAGAGGTGCATGGGATTCTTCTGTCCTAAGTGCAGGACTCTGCACTTGTCTTTGTTGAACCTCATCAGATTTCTTTTGGCCAATCCTCTAATTTGTCTAGGTCCCTCTGTATCCTATCCCTACCCTCCATCGTATCTACCTCTCCTCCCAGTTTAGGGTCATCTGCAAACTTGCCGAAGGTTCAGTCCACGCCATCCTCCAGATCATTAATGAAGATATTGAACAAAACCGGCCCCAGGACCAACCCTTGGGGCACTCCGCTTGATACCGGCTGCCAACTAGACATGGAGCCATTGATAGGGAACCGCTATTTACTGCTACCACAGCCAACCTCACCACAGGGAAGGGACAGGAGCCAGTGTCAAATCACTGTCCTCTCCCACAGGAAACATTCCAGCAGGAAGCTGCCAGTAGGAGGTGCCCACACAAGAGATTTCCCCCCCCAATCCTCCTCCTCCTCTCCTCACTTCCCACATTACAGGATACCCCTTGGCAGTTCTAATTGCTCGGAACTAGCACTTTGCATTCTGGAGGAGGCCGGAGCCACGCTGCAGGTGTGTGCTGCATATGCATGCTGGCTGGAATGCTAGGCATTGTAGGAAGTGGTGCCAGCAATGCAAAGGGGAACACCCACAGCTCCATTAGACAGGATAAGGGAAAGTAACCCTTCAGTTTCTAAGCATGAGGACTAGGTTTCAGAAGACATTTTCCTATAGCCAGGCTATTCCATACTTAGCCATTAGAGGGATACATGCACTGCGGCAGCTGGGACTGGCCTCTTTGGGAGGGGAGAGGAGAGGAAGCACTAGAACAGTGAGTCTCTAACTTTTGTACTGGTGACCCCCCTTTCACACAGCAAGCTTCTAAGTGCGACCCCCCTTATAAATTAAAAACACTTTTTAAATATATTTAACACCATTATAAATGCTGGAGGCAAAGTGGGGTTTGGGGTGGAGGCTAACAGCTAGCGACCCCCCACATAATAACCTCACAACCCCCTGAGGGGTCCTGACCCTCAGTTTGAGAACCCCTGCACTAGAAAGATACACAGTCTGAGCCAGCCTGGCAATGTCCATGCTCCTGTGAGTGCTCTTCTCCAAGCCAGTGCCTCAGCGTGGGGCTGTGCATGTGCCATCTTCTGGATGTGACCCAAGCAGAGGCCCTGACTACCTGGGGCCAGTAGGAGACCAGGACACATCTCAGAAGAAAAGGAATATTAACAACTGACCTAGCTAAATTCCACTTCCTTAAATTCCTCCTGCAGCTTCAGTCAGATACAAGAGTCTTTTTCATCTCCTGCCTGGAGCTACTTTGTACAGAACAGCTGCTTTAGTAACCGGTCCTGGACCCTCTACTGGAGCTTTTCATTTGTGAAACTCAAGCACACAGGGCTGGCCCTGTGCTGAACTGTCCTCCCCACCCTGCCCTACTCCCCCTGGGGTTCAGGTTAAGCCCTGCCCTTATGAAGCGTTGTGATCTTCCATGCTGATCATCTCCTTGGAGCTCAGGTGCGTGGGGATTATATTCCAGTAACTATCCGGGGGTCCCACTAGCCCTATTGCCCAGGCAAGTGACTTTTGATAGCTCTTTCCAGCACACAGGCTGCAAAGCCCTGTGATGCTAATGCATCCTCTTTCTGGCTCTGCCTGTGGGCAGGGAGCAGCTGCACATACCTCACCTCCTCCTACAGAGATGGAACTGGCTGTTGTGTCTTCCCTGTTCACATAATAATCAGTCCCTGGGGCTGCCTGTCTTTTCCTCTGGAGTCTTGTAGACAAAACTGAACCCGCAGTGCAGGGAGGGGAGGGAGATGCAGCAAATGAGAGCCAACTCTAGATCTGTTATGTGGTTGAGCATCTGCCTCCCACTCCCACTACAGCAGCAGCCAGGGTGCAGAGCACTTCCAGTTTCACTCTCCCAGCTAAAATGTCACTATCCCCTGCTTCTCTGAGGCCCAGAGTCAACACTCCCTTTCCTTCCCCAGCTGCAATCAGGGACAGGGGAAGGAAGAACATGTAAGATCTGCAAAATCAGAAATCAGGCAGACCGGAGGGAGGGGCAGCTGCTCCCTGGGTGGGATTTGGGGATGGGGCCTCTGGGGGCTTGTCTTGGGGATTTAAAGAGTTTCAGGGACAATAAGGGGGGGGAAGGGGAAGATAATTATATTATTTGATTGAATGTCCCTTAGAAACAATTTAACTAACCAGCATGGAGCCAGCTGCTGCCATAACGTTTGCCCGGGCTCTAGAGTTTGAACTATACAACACATCTCTAAACAGGGACAAGCAGGCTGAGCTGGGGGAGGGACCATGTGTCAGCCATAAACCAGACCAGGACACTCACTTGCCTCAGGACACGGGGGATAAATGCAAAGCGGCTCCCCCCACAGTTCCTGCCGCTTGGATCTGAACTAACACCCCCCCCCCAAAACCCCTGAAGCTGAAGTTGTGTTGGCCCCCAATGCCTCAGGACCCTAGGGATCTCAGCAGGTGGCAAATGGCCAATTCCTTTGCTACACAGGTGTGTGGTTATCAGCTCCTTGCTCAATAAACTGCAAGGTGGATTGAAGCTTCTGGCTCCCATTAAACTGGCCCCGTACGCCAAGCAAGAACTATCCATGGCACAGTATCTCAAGGTCCCAAATGTTGACCTCATAGAACCCGCGCTCCCCACAGCTACACAGGCTCTGAGAAGCAATACACTCAATTAACCCTTTAAGCTCATCCCCAGGATAGACCCGCATCAGCAGGTGAGTTTAGACGTCTTCCCTCCTTTTGAGCAAACACTGCACATGTGAGCTGGTCAAAAGCTGCCAAGTGCCTCTGCACCTCCTGAGTACCAGCTCCCCCTTCCCATACACACTTTTCTGGGGTTGGGGTGAGCCACGTCTGGAGGCAGCTCCCTCCAAGGGCAGAGCCACCTCCAAAAGCAGCAGCAGCACCATCACTCTGTGCTGCTATACCCTTCCTCAGAGCATCTCCAAACACTTTGCAAACACCAATTAATTAAGCCACAACCTCAGGGCACCTTTCCAACTCTAACGCTCCCAGCAGCAACCAGCAATCACAGCAGAGGGAAACAAACAGCCAACTAGGTCACAAGCTTCTAGGGTGCATCCCCTCTAAACACACAAGCCATTGACTGCCTGCTGATACCCAAATGATGGACAGACCAACCTTCCTGTCTCCACCTGACTTCTACAGGGCCAATAACAGCTACTCGAGTCATTCTAGCTGTGGAGACAACAAGGTCAAGTGGTTAGATCAGGATGCCTGACTCAAGTGCTCCTAGGTTCTATTCCTGGCTCTGCCACTCACCTACTGTGTGACCTTGAGCTAATCCCTTCCCCTTGTAGTGCCACATCATCCCAGGCTCTACAGAGGGGGGTGACGGCACTCACCTGCGGGGCGCCAATTTCTGCTTGCAGAGCTAGCTGGGCCCCCTGGATGGCCAATGCCCAACTACTTGTCTGAGCTGGCAGAAGGCAGCTGACTGGCTTCCTGGAGAAAGTATTGCTCTTGTTTGAAGCCACATAAATGTCAAGCTGAAACCAGACTGCTCTGGCCTGCAGCATTTGTCAGACACGGTTAGATCCCAGCCGGGATTGAGAGTGGCTGGGTTTTTTCCCCTTTAATAAATGAAAAGAATCATGAAGGGGAAGGACGGAGAAGCAGTAATAATACTGCCAGAGCAATAACCCAATCAGGGGCACTTATTGTCTGGCTTTCTGGAAGACTAGACAGACTCCCGGCACGAGTGGCTCACAGTGAGCGCTGAATTAATGGGCAAAGCCATGGTCTCATGGCCAGTTACTGTAAGAGAAGAGATTGATTGGCAGGTTAATCTGCTCATCAGTTCCAGGCAGACCAAAGCTCAATTTATTTCCATTAAATCAGCTCTTCCGCAGATA